CCTTTCATATGCTTAGGACAAAGAAACAGATGAACTCTACTTCACCTTCCCTGTATCTTGCCAAGTTCAGATAGGCAACTTTATCATTCACATCTAAAAAAAAAATTGAAAAAAAAATTTCATCGACATATTGGTCTAGAACCCGTACCACCTGCATGAGAGCCGACTACGCTACCAGCTTAGCTATTTACGCGTGACGTCACAAGTGAATTTTTATACTATACTTTTGAGTCTCCGCGCATAGATCTAGATCTAAGTCTAGTAGTAGTAACTTTCAAATTAAATTTTATCTTAAATTAGCCAAACAAAGATTTATATAAAATAATTAAGGCCTGAAATAGATTCTAGATGTAGAATTTACATTAAGTCTAGATCTAGAATTTACATTGAGTCTAGTGACCTACATCTAGGCTAGATCTAGAGATAGATCTAGGCTAGCTTCATATTCATAACTTTCCTTCGACAGCTGATCTTTAGATCTAGAGAAATTTATCGTAAAACTAATTGAAAAAGACAGTTGAAAATTGATATAAGTGTTGGAACGTAATAAATACAGCAAACGGACGTATTGTTTAAGTTATAGCCGGCAGAAAATTAGCTTTGTAACGCGTTAAACTTTTGAATGGGCCACAAAGTCTATGATGGAGTCCGCCATTTTTATTGTACCAAAAAAGTAAACACATCAAGGGACGTCACTATCCCCACAAAGTTTATTCAAAGTATTAACATTTTCAAAAAAATACGGTTAATTTAACAATGAATAAATCAATAAATTAATTAACGTCTTTAAATAAATAAGTGATTAACAGTCTGTCTTAAAACAAAAAAAATTCTCTACCTACATACTATTTTACAGCTTTCCACGATGAGTGCAACCATGCGAGATAGTCAATCAGGCAAACAAACAAACAAACAAGAAAACAAAAAAATAAATATTCAAACATGTAAACAAACTTGACTTTTAGTAGTATACTAGAATACCCGTCATCCGTTGGATAACTGTGGGTTTCGGGGGTCATCCATCAAAAAACATCACGTCTGTCACTCAGAGGCATAGCGACCCTTCCCGGCGCCCGGGGACAAACTTTTCGATTTTAACCCCCCCCCAAGATTTCGATTTTCACCCCCCCCCCCCCCTCAAACTTTTGATGTGCACCGCCCCCCCCCCCCCCACTCAAACTTTCGATTTGAACCCCCCTCAACATTTCAATTTATTTTTCCAAACCATTTTGGCGCCCCAACATATGTCCCCCCGCCCCCCCCCCTTCCCCCCTCCACCTCCCCCCGCTTCCCCTTCCCCCTTCCCCCCCTTCCCCCCCTTCCCCCCTCCACCTCCCCCCGCCTCCCCTTCCCCCCCCCCCCCCCGCCCCCCCCCCCTCTTCGCTACGCTACTGCAGTGTCACTTATCGTCACAAAAAACAGACCCCACATTCAAAAATATGTTTTTTATCTTTTAAAAACACCGAAAACACCGATTTCGGACTATCCCTTCATATACTGACGTCACATGTGACCTACTCAACTCTACTTCACCTGCCCAGTGTCCCGCCAAGTCTCAGACAACATGTTTTTATCGTTTAAAAAACGATTCCAGCCGAGCATGTCTCTGACCACACTATCCTTTCATATGCTTAGGACAAAGAAACAGATGAACTCTACTTCACCTGCCCTGTATCCTGCCAAGTTCAGATAGGCAACTTTATCATTTACATCTAAAAAAAAAATTGAAAAAAAATATCATTGACATATTGGTCTAGAACCTGTGCCACCCGCATGAGAGCGGACTACGCTACCAACTTAGCTATTTACTCGTGACGTCACAAATGAATTTTTATACTATACTTTTGAGTCTCCGCGCATAGATCTAGATCTAAGTCTAGTAGTAGAATCTAGTAACTTTCAAATTAAATTTTATCTTAAATTAGCCAAAGAAAGATTTATATAAAATAATTAAGGCCTGAAATAGATTCTAGATGTATTAAGGCCTGAAATAGATTCTAGATGTAGAATTTACATTAAGTCTAGATCTAGAATTTACATTGAGTCTAGTGACCTAGATCTAGGCTAGATCTAGATCTAGGCTAGATTCATAACTTTCCTTCGACAGCTGATCTTTAGATCTAGAGAAATTTATTGTAAAACTAAATTAAAAAAAGACAGTTTAAAATTGATATAAGTGTTGGAACGTAATAAATACAGCAAACGGACGTATTGTTAAAGTTATGACCGACAGAAAATTAGATTTAGAACGCGTTAAACTTTTGAATGGGAACACAATTTTCTTCGATAGACGCCGCCATTTTATTGTACTAAAGAGTAAACAAAAACCTGTGACGTCACTATTCCCACAAAGTTTAGTCAATGTTTTAACATTTTAAAAAAAAATGGGTTACTCTACGTATGAATAAATCAATTAATTAATTAACGTCTTTAAATAAATTTGTGATTAACAGTCTGTCTGCATTAAAAAATTATTCTCTACCTACATACTATTTTACAGCTCTCCAGATAGAGTCGAACATATCACAATTTTCGATCGGACAAACAAAAAAACAAATAAATATTCAAACATGTAAGCAAACTTGACTTTTAGTAGTATATAGATAGATATGTGTTTTTTGTGGAATTGGAAATAGCGTAAATTACTATTTCCGGTCAACGGAAAAAAATTACTCAAAATCTAACAGATTGCAGAAAATTAGATTTTTTCTTAGGTGTAAAATTTCATTTATATATCTGAAACAGTACTCAGGTTATAGGCTTTTGAAAAATTTAAAGTAGAGTAAGTTCCACGTCAGTTTTCAGGAAATCGCTGAAAAGTTAATACAGAACTAAAAATTTTATATAACACTTATATATGAAATTTCATCAACCTCGCTGTAACGGTTCTCAAGCTATCCTGTTCACAAACACATACAGACACACACAGGCGCACACACAGAATTACTGACAAAATCGCAAAACTATGTTTTTCCGACTCAGGGAGGTGTAAAACGTCGTTTATTTTCACGATTACAATACTTCCTCTATACTTTGTACACGAGAAACTAAAAACTAAAAGATAACTTAATTTTACTTGTTCTGCTTGTTGTTAAAATGTATACGTTGCATCTTGTTCAGTCCTGTTAGTATTGATTTAATCTAAAGCTGTCAAAGATTACACAAGACAGAATTGTGACTTTAAGCCCCACCTTCCCTTACTATATCCAATACGGGCATCAAATAAAGTCGAATTGGATGCCTTATTGCATTGTCACCAGATCTAGACGCAAGTGCCAAGTTTCAAAGAAGTTGGTCAGTTAAAAGAGGTTGGTCAGTTAGAAGAAGTTGGTCAGTTAAAAGAGGTTGGTCAGTTAGAAGAAGTTGGTCAGTTAGAAGAAGTTGGTCAGTTAGAAGAAGTTGGTCAGTTAAAAGAGGTTGGTCAGTTAGAAGAAGTTGGTCAGTTAAAAGAGGTTGGTCAGTTAGAAGAAGTTGGTCAGTTAAAAGAGGTTGGTCAGTTAGAAGAAGTTGGTCAGTTAGAAGAAGTTGGTCAGTTAAAAGAAGTTGGTCAGTTAGAAGAAGTTGGTCAGTTAAAAGAGGTTGGTCAGTTAGAAGAAGTTGGTCAGTTAAAAGAGGTTGGTCAGTTAGAAGAAGTTGGTCAGTTAAAAGAGGTTGGTCAGTTAGAAGAAGTTGGTCAGTTAAAAGAGGTTGGTCAGTTAGAAGAAGTTGGTCAGTTAAAAGAGGTTGGTCAGTTAGAAGAAGTTGGTCAGTTAAAAGAGGTTGGTCAGTTAGAAGAAGTTGGTCAGTTAAAAGAGATTGGTCAGTTAGAAGAAGTTGGTCAGTTAAAAGAGGTTGGTCAGTTAGAAGAAGTTGGTCAGTTAAAAGAGGTTGGTCAGTTAGAAGAAGTTGGTCAGTTAGAAGAAGTTGGTCAGTTAAAAGAGGTTGGTCAGTTAGAAGAAGTTGGTCAGTTAAAAGAGGTTGGTCAGTTAGAAGAAGTTGGTCAGTTAGAAGAAGTTGGTCAGTTAAAAGAGGTTGGTCAGTTAGAAGAAGTTGGTCAGTTAAAAGAGGTTGGTCAGTTAGAAGAAGTTGGTCAGTTAAAAGAGGTTGGTCAGTTAGAAGAAGTTGGTCAGTTAAAAGAGGTTGGTCAGTTAGAAGAAGTTGGTCAGTTAAAAGAGGTTGGTCAGTTAGAAGAAGTTGGTCAGTTAAAAGAGGTTGGTCAGTTAGAAGAAGTTGGTCAGTTAAAAGAGGTTGGTCAGTTAGAAGAAGTTGGTCAGTTAAAAGAGGTTGGTCAGTTAGAAGAAGTTGGTCAGTTAGAAGAAGTTGGTCAGTTAAAAGAAGTTGGTCAGTTAGAAGAAGTTGGTCAGTTAAAAGAGGTTGGTCAGTTAGAAGAAGTTGGTCAGTTAGAAGAGGTTGGTCAGTTAAAAGAGGTTGGTCAGTTAGAAGAAGTTGGTCAGTTAGAAGAAGTTGGTCAGTTAGAAGAAGTTGGTCAGTTAAAAGAGGTTGGTCAGTTAGAAGAAGTTGGTCACTTAGAAGAAGTTGGTCAGTTAGAAGAAGTTGGTCAGTTAAAAGAGGTTGGTCAGTTAGAAGAAGTTGGTCAGTTAGAAGAAGTTGGTCAGTTAGAAGAAGTTGGTCAGTTAGAAGAAGTTGGTCAGTTAAAAGAAGTTGGTCAGTTAGAAGAAGTTGGTCAGTTAGAAGAGGTTGGTCAGTTAGAAGAGGTTGGTCAGTTAAAAGAAGTTGGTCAGTTAGAAGAAGTTGGTCAGTTAGAAGAGGTTGGTCAGTTAGAAGAGGTTGGTCAGTTAGAAGAAGTTGGTCAGTTAGAAGAAGTTGGTCAGTTAGAAGAAGTTGGTCAGTTAGAAGAGGTTGGTCAGTTAGAAGAAGTTGAAATTCAGCTCTCCACAACGACAGACAGTGAAAGCAAGTTAAATAAAAGCCGGTAACTAAGAATTTTCACAAGTTTAGAAAACAAGGAAAAACAAAAAAAAATTAACAAGTTTATTTTTTAAAATAATTATTTTATCACATTTAGTCCTTCATGTGCAGTAAGAAAACCTGCTCTAAGGACGTCTGTTGGACCGTGAAATGTTGGAGGTCAAACGTCGACCTGGCCTCTAATGAAAGCCTGAAGATTTCAGACAAACGGGCAGTCTCTGGAACTTGTAGGTGGTAGTACGAGGGTTGGGCGTTGAAAACCTGAGGATAAACAAACACAAAGTTAGGATAGAATAAAGTTTGTTTGTATGGTCGTTGGACGTTGAAAATCTGAGGATAAACAAATGCAAAGTTAGGATAGAATAAAGTTTGTTTGTATGGTCGTTGGACGTTGAAAACCTGAGGATAAACAAATGCAAAGTTAGGATGGAAAAGTTTGTTTGTATGGTCGTTGGACGTTGAAAACCTGAGGATAAACAAATGCAAAGTTAGGATAGAATAAAGTTTGTTTGTATGGTCGTTGGACGTTGAAAACCTGAGGATAAACAAATGCAAAGTTAGGATGGAAAAGTTTGTTTGTATGGTCGTTGGGCGTCGAAAATCTGAATTACGACTAACGGAAAATTAGATATGAATCTTTCGGGAGGTATCTTAAACTCGTTCTAAGTGTTCTATATTAAGCTGTGTTAGTTGTCCCACGTGCCATTTGTATTAACTCGCATACCGTAGTTCCAGGGATGGATGAGATCAGGAAATCTACCGCAGGCTTCAGTGGAAGGATGGCTCCGTCCTCTTGATGTTTAGCGTGGAGGATGACGGTATAGCCCTGGGCAAATTTGTTCTTCAAGTGCTGCGTGCTGCCCAGACACATCAACCGCCCTCTTTTGAGGATCGCAATTTTCGTGCACAGCGCTTCACACTCCTCCATGCTGAAACATCACGAGATCCGATAACATTTTTACTGTATTCTATGGTTAACATATTCTAATTCTATTAAACTTTGCGATTTTTTTTTCAATTTTATTTAGTGATAATTTATTGCATATTTAATGTATTTTAAATATTATTTTACAATAGTACAATGTTATTTACAAGAATATTTATAGAATACCCATCTGAAGTTCTCTGGTCAATTATTGACCTCTCACCTGTGTGAGGTCAGCACCAAGGTTCTCTCCATTGACCTGATCATATGCAGACATTTCCAAAGACTTCTCCTAGAGATGGGGTCCATGCCAGCTGTCGGTTCGTCTAGCATTATAAAGTGGGGGTCACCGATGATGGCTATCCCCATTGACAACTTTCTTTTGTTGCCACCGCTGGCAAGATTTCAATAAAAAAAAATTTTCAGTTTAAAAATATTTTAAATCAACTCTCGGCACCATTAATAGACTATTCGATTATTTTATAACAATCGCTAGTTGAATTATTCACAAGCGCTTTAACTATGTATGTGTAGATTTGCTGTGGGGTTTCAAAGTGAATTTACAATAATCTTTATTAAGTGTTAATAATCTTAATTAATTCCAAGACTTTATATCCCTCCCTTGCGTGAATGTTCACTACCGCTGTTGGTGTGTCAACTTTTTGTTTCACCACTCCGACTACTCTTACAGCCGTTACAGCTGCCTACCTGTAAGCGGATGTCACTTTATCCTCGTGTGGTCGAAGAGTGATAAAATCGATGACCATTTCCGTGATGGTATTTAGATATTGCTCTTTAACTCCCCTCAGCCTTGCGTACAGGTACAGGGTCTCTCGTCCTGTCAGTGAGTCATGGAGGGCGTCAAACTGGGGGCAGTAACTCATCATAGACTGGACCTGTAACATTAAGGGCAGTAACTCATCATACACTGGACCTATAACATTAAGGGCAGTAACTCATCATAGACTGGACCTGTAACATTAAGGGCAGTAACTCATCATACACTGGACCTGTAACATTAAGGGCAGTAACTCATCATAGACTGGACCTGTAACATTAAGGGCAGTAACTCATCATAGACTGGACCTGTAACATTAAGGGCAGTAACACATCATAGACTGGACCTGTAACATTAAGGGCAGTAACTCATCATAGACTGGACCTGTAACATTAAGGGCAGTAACACATCATAGACTGGACCTGTAACATTAAGGGCAGTAACTCATCATAGACTGGACCTGTAACATTAAGGGCAGTAACTCATCATACACTGGACCTATAACATTAAGGGCAGTAACTCATCATAGACAGGACCTGTAACATTAAGGGCAGTAACTCATCATACACTGGACCTATAACATTAAGGGCAGTAACTCATCATAGACTGGACCTGTAACATTAAGGGCAGTAACTCATCATAGACTGAACCTGAATCATTAAGGGCAGTAACTCATCATAGACTTGACCTGTAACATTAAGGGCAGTAACTTATCATAGACTGGACCTGTAGCGTCAAAGGCGGTAATTCAATATAGACTGGACCTAAAAAAAAACTGAGGGCAGTAGCTTATAACGGAGTAGAGTTAAACAATAACTAGTAAAAGTATTAAATGTTACAAGTTAAAAAATTATAATTTTAATAGAATAAGTAATTTAAATTTGAATTAAATATATCAATTATAACTTTTCTATAGTCGCTATACGTTCCTTGTGTAACTGAAGACTTTATATCGGCTTCTATTTTACGCCATAGCCTTCACTTTACCAATGCATCAAAATTGAATGAACTCGACTGTAGTCCATTTCATTAGGTCGTCAGTACTTGCCCAAACAACATTCAAAAGATGAACACAGTTGATAACTTGCTCTGGGTAAAAGTGTGACGGTGATCAATACTTGGTAACCAACTCACCTTTTTTATTTTGGATTTGATATTATAGCCGCCTACGTAAGCCTCTCCTGCCGATAAAGTAATGTCCCCTGTCAACATTTTAAAGATGGTTGTCTTCCCAGCTCCATTCTGTCCCAGCAACCCTAGGCACTCCTTGTCTGGCACCCCAAAGCTAACTGGGTGGACCGCCGTATGTATGGAGCAGAAAAGACTACAGTAGACTTTCTTCAGGTCGATCAGAAGAAGGGCGTCTGAAACAGAAAGAAAGTGCAGTGTAGGATGCAGCGGGGTGAGCTGAGAGTGCAGCAGCCCGAGGCCCCAGAAAATTTTACAAACCATAGTAAAATTCTAGTGTTTTATAACTAGAAAAATACAAAGTTAAATATTTGAATCTCATGCTTATTCAATTTTTTAATAAATATCAAATAAGTGTAACTCTCTAAAATTGCAGAACTAGGTCATGTGGTTTAAAATAGCCTGATGTTATGTAAAATCTTTAACTGCAAAGTTTTGAAAAGAAATAACTATCGGTCACTGTTCAGCCAATCAATATGTCTTACGAAAGTGAAACATTGGGTTATCTCTGGATTTGCAACTTTTATAACATTGGTTCTAAAAATATAAAATTTCTGAATTATTTTTAGGCTTGAGTTTTTATTTATTTTTTACAATCGCTATGAGGTCAACTTATTTAAAAAAAACAATTTTATCCATGACAACAATATGATGAAAGGATTCTCGTCAACTCGCTGGCGTCGATTAGCTCTCAATCACTAACATTCAGACAAGGCTATAAACTATAAACGCGAGCAATACTCTATTGCTAAAATAAAGCGTGAGTTGTCTCCCCTAAAAGTTTTTGTATATCCTTATATAACATAAGGATAATGGCCTTCAAGTGCAACAGAGCTTTAGGTTTTTTTAAATTAAGTTTTTTAACACTTACATTTTAAAATAGAATAGAACCGCGTAGAAAAAAAAATGGAGCTGGGAAGACAACCATCTTTAAATTATTGACAGGGGACATTACTTTATCGGCAGGAGAGGCTTACGTAGGCGGCTATAATATCAAATCACACCACAAAAAGTGAGTTCTGTTTTTACTTGTAAAATGTTCAAATTTCCCCTTTCTTCTACACGTTGTACCATCATCCAGACGACGATTTTGCTTACATTTTAACCCATATCTCATACGATAAATTGACCCAATCGTAAACCCCTAACCCGCTTGACATTTGCACACATGAAGGCATCATGGGACGGAGTGGTCTAGCGGTAGAGAGCTGGACTGCTAACCCGTAAGTCTCGAGTTCGAATCCGGGTTCAAGTCAGTAGACCGTCCCTGAGTCCACCCAACTCTGATGGGTACCTAACTCACGTTAGGGAAAGTAAAGGCGGCTGGGCATAGTGCTGACCACACCTATCTCTGCCTATGCCGAGGTCACAGAAATAAGTTAACTCTACTTCACTTGCCCCATAGACAGTCAGGTTTGAAATGGAAACTTTTGCCCTTGGCATCTCATCGTTATAGTAGGAGAAAATAAACTAGCAAAGAATTAAAGTGTAATCTAGTTTTCATAGTCATATTAATAGTCTATGATGAGTTACTGCCCTTAATGTTACAGGTCCAGTCTATGATGAGTTACTGCCCTTAATGTTACAGGTCCAGTCTATGATGAGTTACTGCCCTTAATGTTACAGGTCCAGTCTATGATGAGTTACTGCCCTTAATGTTACAGGTCCAGTCTATGATGAGTTACTGCCCTTAATGTTACAGGCCCAGTCTATGATGAGTTACTGCCCTTAATGTTACAGGTCCAGTCTATGATGAGTTACTGCCCTTAATGTTACAGGTCCAGTCTATGATGAGTTACTGCCCTTAATGTTACAGGTCCATTCTATAATCAGTTAATGCCCTTAATGTTACAGGTCCAGTCTATGATGAGTTCAATGACTTCAAATGTAAAACCGAAAAGAAGAACATTCTATTCCAATTACCGCTTTTAAAAAGATCTTCCTTCGGTGATTCGTGCACTCTCTTCTGCTCGTTGATGATGTCATCATCCTCTTGGGCTACCTGCACATCTGCAAATTTCTTTCCACAGAAAAGTCTCTGAATACATGACACGCGGTACCTTGTACAGAGACAAGTGAGATAAAATTCATACCCCAGCTATGGTCTGTGTCATGTAGCTTATCGTATGACGATACCATTCCCTAGAACCTTCGCGGTACTCTCAAACAACTAGTTCAATGCAGTTCTAATACAATTAGTTCACCTAAAAATAGTAGTGTAAGAAATTTAGTTCGTAAAGCTAATGGCTGCTAAACCGAAAAGTCACGAGTTCGAACCCTAGGACAGATAAGGCTTGTTAGCTGGTGACAGCCACTCTTCTATGAGAGACAACTCCAAAATCAAACAACTGTTGCCTTCTAGTTTGTTCTTTGCTGGACAAAGGCTATGGAAGCAAATACAAAAAGAAAAGCAGGCTGAAATCGGAGCCACAATGGCGCATAACCAGTTGACACGTATACTTAATTGCGATATTTTTTTAACAATTGGTCTATTATGTTACAGCCCAAAGTCAGGCGACCTCACGAACATCTCACAATGTTTCAAGTCTTGAGGTCTCGACTCGAGACAAGCAGTGACGGTTGTTGACAAAACATTCAGGGTTGTACATCCGTCTCAAACATCATAACTCAATCAAACTCGCGTGCGTGAATGATTGGGAGCATGCGAGTATAGTTATTGTAGTAAATAGGAAACAATAACTTACCAAATAAGTCTGATAACCTTGAATTCGATCAACATTATAAAAATCCAGGAAAGTACACCTTGGCCGAGCAACTTTGAGTAGCATTTAGGCAATTCGTGAGAAAATCCTTCCATGACATCGATAAACCCATCTGTGTGAACAAACATAATACATGCTCATCTTGTGTGGCAAAATAAGGATAAGCCCTTGGCAATGTGGATAAAACAAATTAAAGACAAGGCCTTGACAATGTGGATAAAACAAATTAAAGACAAGGCCTTGACAATGTGGATAAAACAAATTAAAGTCAATCCTTTGACAATGTTGATAAAACAAATTAAAGTCAAGCATTGGACAATGTGGATAAAACAAATTAAAGACAAGGCCTTGACAATGTGGATAAAACAAATTAAAGACAAGGCCTTGACAATGTGGATAAAACAAATTAAAGACAAGGCCTTGACAATGTGGATAAAACAAATTAAAGACAAGGCCTTGACAATGTGGATAAAACAAATTAATAACAAGGCCTTGACAATGTGGATAAAACAAATTAAAGACAAGGCCTTGACAATGTGGATAAAACAAATTAAAGACAAGGCCTTGACAATGTGGATAAAACAAATTAAAGACAAGGCCTTGACAATGTGGATAAAACAAATTAAAGTCAATCCTTTGACAATGTTGATAAAACAAATTAAAGTCAAGCATTGGACAATGTGGATAAAACAAATTAAAGACAAGGCCTTGACAATGTGGATAAAACAAATTAAAGACAAGGCCTTGACAATGTGGATAAAACAAATTAAAGACAAGGCCTTGACAATGTGGATAAAACAAATTAAAGACAAGGCCTTGACAATGTGGATAAAACAAATTAATAACAAGGCCTTGACAATGTGGATAAAACAAATTAAAGACAAGGCCTTGACAATGTGGATAAAACAAATTAATAACAAGGCCTTCATGTATAGTGTTGCAGATACTTCAGTTTAGGTAAAGTGTTTCCGATACTTATGTATAGTCTTGCCGATATTTAAGTTCATATAAAACGTTGCCGATACTTAAGTTCATGTATAGTGTTGCCGATACTTAAGTTTATGTAAAGTGTTGCCGATGCTTAAGTTTATGTAAAGTGTTGCAGATACTTAAGTTCATGTAAAGTGTTGCCGATACTTAAGTTTATGTAAAGTGTTGCCGATGCTTAAGTTTATGTAAAGTGTTGCCGATGCTTAAGTTTATGTAAAGTGTTGCCGATACTTAAGTTTAGGTACTTACTCGCCCCTGCACTGAAAACCATTAAAAGTAAAATGGACGAAATGGCGTAGTTAGGCGAAATATATCCGAAGAACAAATCCAGGAAGAAGTAGAAGCCTTCTAATGATACTCCTATACCCTTGATGACGGTGATTAAAAAACTGAATATCACACCTGCATAAAGATCGACACATAATCAAGGCTGACCATACCAGACACAAGGCTAACCATACCAGACACAAGGCTGACCATACCACACAGACACAAAACTGACCATACCAGACACAAGGCTGAACATACCAGACACAAGGCTGACCATACCACACAGACACAAGGCTGACCATACCAGACACAATGCTAACCATACCGCACAGACACAAGGCTGACAATACCAGACACAAGGCTGACCATACCAGACACAAGGCTGACCATACCACACAGAAACAAGGCTGACCATACCACACAGACACAAGTCTGACCATACCAGACACAAGGCTGACCATACCAGACACAAGGTTGACCATACCAGACACAAGGCTGACCATACCACACAAACACAAGACGGACCATACCAGACACAAGACTGACCATACCACACAAACACAAGGCTGACCATACCAGACACAAGACTGACCATACCAGACACAAGGCTGACCATACCACACAAACACAAGACTGACCATACCAGACACAAGGCTGACCATACCAGACACAAGACTGACCATACCAGACACAAGGCTGACCATATTACACAAACACAAGGCTGACCATACCACAGTCACAAGACTGACCATACCAGACACAAGGCTGACCATACCACACAGAAACAAGGCTAACCATACCAGACACAAGACTGACCATGCCAGACACAAGACTGACCATACCAGACACAAGGCTGACCATACCACACAAACACAAGACGGACCATACCAGACACAAGACTGACCATACCACACAAACACAAGGCTGACCATACCAGACACAAGACTGACCATACCAGACACAAGGCTGACCATACCACACAGAAACAAGGCTAACCATACCAGACACAAGGCTGACCATACCAGACACAAGACTGACCATACCAGACACAAGGCTGACCATATTACACAAACACAAGGCTGACCATACCACAGTCACAAGACTGACCATACCAGACACAAGGCTGACCATACCAGACACAAGACTGACCATACCACACAAACACAAGGCTGACCATACCAGACACAAGGCTGACCATACCACACAGACACAAGGCTGACCATACCACACAGACACAAGGCTGACCATACCAGACACAAAGCTGACCATACCAGACACAAGGCTGACCATACCAGACACAAGGCTGACCATACCACACAGAAACAAGGCTAACCATACCAGACACAAGACTGACCATACCAGACACAAGGTTGACCATACCAGACACAAGGCTGACCATACCGCACAGACACAAGGCTGACCATACCACACAGACACAAGGCTGACCATACCGCACAGACACAAGGCTGACCATACCACACAGACACAAGGCTGACCATACCAGACACAAGGCTGACCATACAACACAGACACAATGCTGACCATACCACACAGACACAAGGCTGACCATACCAGACACAGGGCTGACCATACCAGACACAAGGCTGACCATACCACACAGACACAAGGCTGACCATACCAGACACAAAGCTGACCATACCAGACACAAGGCTGACCATACCAGACACAAGGCTGACCATACCACACAGAAACAAGGCTAACCATACCAGACACAAGGTTGACCATACCAGACACAAGGTTGACCATACCAGACACAAGGCTGACCATACCGCACAGACACAAGGCTGACCATACCACACAGACACAAGGCTGACCATACCAGACACAAGGCTGACCATACAACACAGACACAATGCTGACCATACCACACAGTCACAAGGCTGACCATACCAGACACAATGCTGACCATACCAGACACAATGCTGACCATACCGCACAGACACAAGGCTGACCATACCACACAGACACAAGGCTGACCATACCAGACACAAGACTGACCATACCAGACACAATGCTGACCATACCGCACAGACACAAGGCTGACCATACCACACAGACACAAGGCTGACCATACCACACAGACACAAGGCTGACCATACCAGACACAAGGCTGACCATACCACACAGTCACAAGACTGACCATACCAGACACAAGGCTGACCATACCAGACACTAGGCTGACCATACCACACAGTCACAAGGCTGACCATACCAGACACAAGGCTGACCATACCACACAGACACAAGGCTGACCATACCACACAGTCACAAGGCTGACCATACCAGACACAAGGCTGACCATACCACACAGACACAAGGCTGACCATACCACACAGACACAAGGCTGACCATACAACACAGTCACAAGACTGACCATACCACACAGTCACAAGGCTGACCATACCAGACACAAGGCTGACCATACAACACAGACACAAGGCTGACCATACCACACAGTCACAAGGCTGACCATACCAGACACAAGGCTGACCATACCACACAGTCACAAGGCTGACCATACCAGACACAAGGCTGACCATACCAGACACAAGGCTGACCATACCAGACACAAGGCTGACCATACCAGACACAAGGCTGACCATACCACACAGTCACAAGGCTGACCATACCAGACACAAGGCTGACCATACCAGACACAAGGCTGACCATACCAGACACAAGGCTGACCATACCACACAGACAAAAGGCTGACCATACCACACAGTCACAAGGCTGACCATACCACACAGTCACAAGGCTGACCATACCAGACACAAGGCTGACCATACCACACAGACACAAGGCTGACCATACCAGACACAAGGCTGACCATACCACACAGACAAAAGGCTGACCATACAACACAGACACAAGGCTGACCATACCACACAGTCACAAGGCTGACCATACCAGACACAAGGCTGACCATACCAGACACAAGGCTGACCATACCAGACACAAGGCTGACCATACCAGACACAAGGCTGACCATACCACACAGTCACAAGGCTGACCATACCAGACACAAGGCTGACCATACCAGACACAAGGCTGACCATACCAGACACAAGGCTGACCATACCACACAGACAAAAGGCTGACCATACAACACAGACACAATGCTGACCATACCAGACACAAGGCTGACCATACCGCACAGTCACAAGGCTGACCATACCAGACACAAGACTGACCATACCAGACACAAGGCTTACCATACCAGACACAAGGCTGACCATACCACACAGACAAAAGGCTGACCATACCAGACACAAGGCTGACCATACCAGACACAAGGCTGACCATACCAGACACAAGGCTGACCATACCAGACAGACACAAGGCTGACCATACCAGACACAAGGCTGACCATACCAGACACAAGGCTGACCATACCAGACAGACACAAGGCTGACCATACCAGACACAAGGCTGACCATACCAGACAGACACAAGGCTGACCATACCAGACACAAGGCTGACCATACCAGACACAAGGCTGACCATACCAGACAGACACAAGGCTGACCATACCAGACACAAGGCTGACCATACCAGACACAAGGCTGACCATACCACACAGACACAAGGCTGACCATACCTGACAAAATGCTGACCATACCAGACACAAGGCTGACCATACCACGCAGACACAAGGCTGACCAAACCACACATAAGGCTGACCATACCAGACACAAGGCTGACCATACCAGACACAAGGCTGACCATACCACACAGACACAAGGCTGACCATACCACACAGACACAAGGCTGACCATACCCGACACAAGACTGACCATACCAGACACAAGGCTGACCATACCACACAGACACAAGGCTGACCATACCCGACACAAGACTGACCATACCAGACACAAGGCTGACCATACCAGACACAAGGCTGACCATACCACACAGACACAAGGCTGACCATACCACACAGACACAAGGCTGACCATACCAGACACAAGGCTGACCATACCAGACACAAGGCTGACCATACCACACAGACACAAGGCTGACCATACCAGACACAAGGCTGACCATACCACACAGACACAAGGCTGACCATACCAGACACAAGGTTGACCATACCAGACACAAGGCTGACCATACCAGACACAAGGCTGACCATACCAGACACAAGGCTGACCATACCACACAGACACAAGGCTGACCATACCAGACACAAGGCTGACCATACCAGACACAAGGCTGACCATACCACACAAACACAAGGCTGACCATACCAGACACAAGGCTGACCATACCACACAGACACAAGGCTGACCATACCAGACACAAGGTTGACCATACCAGACACAAGGCTGACCATACCAGACACAAGGCTGACCATACCAGACACAAGGCTGACCATACCACACAGACACAAGGCTGACCATACCAGACACAAGGCTGACCATACCAGACACAAGGCTGACCATACCACACAAACACAAGGCTGACCATACCAGACACAAGACTGACCATACCAGACACAAGACTGACCATACCAGACACAAGGCTGACCATACCACACAGACACAAGGCTGACCATACCACACAGACACAAGGCTGACCATACCAGACACAAGGCTGACCATACCAGACACAAGGCTGACCATACCACACAGACACAAGGCTGACCATACCAGACACAAGACTGACCATACCAGACACAAGGCTGACCATACCAGACACAAGGCTGACCATACCAGACACAAGACTGACCATACCAGACTCAAGGCTGACCATACCAGACACAAGGCTGACCATACCAGACACAAGGCTGACCATACCAGACACAAGGCTGACCATACCAGACACAAGGCTGACCATACCAGACACAAGGCTGACCATACCAGACACAAGGCTGACCATACCAGACACAAGGCTGACCATACCAGACACAAGGCTGACCATACCAGACACAAGACTGACCACACGTACAAATAATGGCCTTATTTGCCTTGTGCTTTTTTATCAGAGATGTAACCAACCTCCTATGAACAATTATATCGGCGGAGGGTGGTTGGGTTGCTGTGACGGCAGCATAAACTCAAGGTTTTTTACAAGTAGTACTTGTGGAAACAGCGGTTATCCGTAAAAATAAACCGGGAGTGATCTCCTCTATACTTTCTCGAGTATTCTTATATAAAACAACAGGGGATGGGAACCCGGGATATAGTTATGATTTTTAATCCATTTTAAATACTTAAACTTGTTTAAATAGAATAGAATCTCATAGAAAAAAGAATTGCGCACCAAGCGAACGCCGAATAAAGATGTGTATAATAGTGCGGAATATTATTAGCACTTTATAAATTCTCATGCGTTTTTTGAGAAATCGGAAATAGTGAAAATTACTACTCAACGGAAATTACTCAAAATTTGAAAGAAGGCAGAAAATTAGATCTTTTACTTACATGTGAAATTTCATTTATCTATCTGAAATAGTACTCAAGTTTTAGGCTTTTGAAAAATTCAAAGTAGAAAAAGTACCACTTCCGGGTATCGGAAATCGCTCAAAAGTTGATATGGAACAACGATTTTGATAAAATACTTATTTATGAAATTTCACAAACATACGGACAAGATTGCAAAATTATGTTTTTCCTTATCAGTGAGGTGTAAAACGTCGAGATTTGTAAAAATCTCGATTTTTTTTTTGCACGATTACAAAACTTTCTCTATACTGCGTATATACGAGAAAGTAAAAAGGAAAAGTTACATCTCTGCTTTCTATTTAGTACAAGTAATGACTGTATTACAGAAAGACAAAGAATGAGATCAATTACCTATGACGAGATTGACGATGAGAATGATGACGATTGCTATTGTCGGCGAGGAGAAGACGTTCTGTATCAGGTAGAGATACGGAAAAGATGCGATGCCAAATGCGGAAAAGCCGATGACTAAAACTAGCCAGCGGTCGCGGTCGAGGAAGACTTTGTGGTTGAAAGCCAGCAAGCACATGTACAAGGTGATGATGGCTATAAATAGCAGAAAGTCGAAGACAAACGTCCCCAGCCAATACGCTACAGGGTGGACACCGCTCAGTGTTTGGAGGTGTTTGGCACCAGTCTAAAGATAAAAATAAGTTTAGCACCAGTATTAAGATGTAAATAAATGTGACAGAATGAACATTACCACAGACAAATCAGCAAATGCAAAACCAAAGACAAGACTAAATACACAAGATATGAGACAGGAGACTTGACTCAAGACACAGGAGACTGTACACAACATATATAACATATGGGGCTGGACAGACAGGAGACTTGACTCAAGACACAGGAGACTGTACACAACATATGGGTGCTGGACAGACAGGAGACTTGACTCAAGACACAGGAGACTGGACACAACATATGGGTGCTGGACAGACAGGAAACTTGACTCAAGACACAGGAGACTGTACACAACATATGGGTGCTGGACAGACAGGAGACTTGACTCAAGACACAGGAGACTGTACACAACATATGGGTGCTGGTCAGACAGGAGACTTGACTCAAGACACAGGAGACTGTACACAAAATATGGGTGCTGGTCAGACAGGAGACTTGACTCAAGACACAGGAGACTGTACACAAAATATACAACATATGGGTGCCGGACAGACAGGAAACTTGACTCAAGACACAGGAGACTGTACACAACATATGGGTGCTGGACAGACAGGAGACTTGACTCAAGACACAGGAGACTGTACACAACATATGGGTGCTGGTCAGACAGGAGACTTGACTCAAGACACAGGAGACTGTACACAACATATGGGTGCTGGACAGACAGGAGACTTGACTCAAGACACAGGAGACTGTACACAACATATGGGTGCTGGACAGACAGGAGACTTGACTCAAGACACAGGAGACTGTACACAAAATATGGGTGCTGGTCAGACAGGAGACTTGACTCAAGACACAGGAGACTGTACACAACATATGGGTGCTGGACAGACAGGAGACTTGACTCAAGACACAGGAGACTGTACACAACATATGGGTGCTGGACAGACAGGAGACTTGACTCAAGACACAGGAGACTGTACACAACATATGGGTGCTGGACAGACAGGAGACTTGACTCAAGACACAGGAGACTGTACACAACATATGGGTGCTGGACAGACAGGAGACTTGACTCAAGACACAGGAGACTGTACACAACATATGGGTGCTGGTCAGACAGGAGACTTGACTCAAGACACAGGAGACTGTACACAAAATATACAACATATGGGTGCCGGACAGACAGGAAACTTGACTCAAGACACAGGAGACTGTACACAACATATGGGTGCTGGTCAGACAGGAGACTTGACTCAAGACACAGGAGACTGTACACAACATATGGGTGCTGGACAGACAGGAGACTTGACTCAAGACACAGGAGACTGTACACAACATATGGGTGCTGGACAGACAGGAGACTTGACTCAAGACACAGGAGACTGTACACAACATATGGGTGCTGGACAGACAGGAGACTTGACTCAAGACACAGGAGACTGTACACAACATATGGGTGCTGGACAGACAGGAGACTTGACTCAAGACACAGGAGACTGTACACAACATATGGGTGCTGGTCAGACAGGAGACTTGACTCAAGACACAGGAGACTGTACACAACATATGGGTGCTGGACAGACAGGAAACTTGACTCAAGATACAGGAGACTGTACACAACATATGGGTGCTGGACAGACAGGAAACTTGACTCAAGACACAGGAGACTGTACACAACATATGGGTGCTGGACAAACAGGAGACTTGACTCAAGACACAGGAGACTGTACACAAAATATACAACATATGGGTGCCGGACAGACAGGAGACTTGACAGAACACACATAAAAGACATTATCTATATAACATTATTCCATTAATCCATCTGGTAAAGTCATTGTTCTCTCTACATCCCCCCTACCCCACCCCTCCACTCCTCAAATACAGGAAGGTGTTTGAATCTGTGATTTAATTATGCCATTTACTCTGTTACATACTATTAGAAAAAAAAATTCTTTACATGGTAACGTATTAAATGTGGTGTCGAACTGTTCAGCATATAATACCAAATATTCGCGTAGTTGTCACCCTTTATCATATCCCTTTGCTGCCCGTATCCCATGCGGCTACTGTGCACAATGTTCTAACGCTAGTAACATCTTTCTGCGAGATAAAGAATGTTCTAACGCTAGTAACATCTTTCTGAGAGATAAAGAGATAAAGAATGTCATTACATAAAGGATCTCTGTCTAAATTAGAATGTCCATGACTGCTGATAACTTACCGCACATTCAACTATCAGGCCGTAGATCATCTGATGACTTAGATCATCTGATGAATTAGATCATCTGATGACTTAGATCATCTGATGACTTAGATCATCTGATGACTTAGATTATCTGATGACTTAGATCATCTGATGACTTAGCTCATCTGATGACTTAGATCATCTGATGACTTAGATCATCTGATGACTTAGATCATCTGATGACTTAGATCATCTGATGACTTAGATCATCTGATGACTTATATTATCTGATGACTTAGATCATCTGATGACTTAGATCATCTGATGACTTAGATCAGCTGATGACTTAGATCATCTGATGACTTAGATCATCTTATGACTTACCGCACGTTCAACTATCAGGGCGTAGATAAACATGACTGGCAGAAGCACCATGGCAAAGATGACTGCGGTCAGCGTGCTCATTGCGAACCCAGTGATACTTCCCGTAGTAAAATACTGGAGGCCAAGCTCAATAGAAAAGTCGTCCCCCAGTGCTGCCTTGACCTCAGCGTTGAGCATCAGTTGAAGCTAGAAGATTAGATTATCATGTTGAGCATCAGTTGAAGCTAGAAGATTAGATTATCATGTTTAGCATCAGTTGAAGCTAGAAGATTAGATTATCATGTTGAGCATCAGTTGAAGCTAGAAGATTAGATTATCATGTTTAGCATCAGTTGAAGCTAGAAGATTAGATTATCATGTTGAGCATCAGTTGAAGCTAGAAGATTAGATTATCATGTTTAGCATCAGTTGAAGCTAGAAGATTAGATTATCATGTTTAGCATCAGTTGAAGCTAGAAGATTAGATTATCATGTTGAGCATCAGTTGAAGCTAGAAGATTAGATTATCATGTTGAGCATCAGTTGAAGCTATAAGATTAGATTATCATGTTGAGCATCAGTTGAAGCTAGAAGATTAGATTATCATGTTGAGCATCAGTTGAAGCTATAAGATTAGATTATCATGTTGAGCATCAGTTGAAGTTAGAAGATTAGATTATCATGTTGCCTCTGATTTAATGGCAGGGCGTAAATCAAAGAAACTCTAGCAAATTATGGCCCTAGAACAGGGGTTCCCAACCCCGTGCCCGCGGGCGCCATGGCGCCCGCCGAACGATTCGCATGTGCCCGCCTCTCACTATTCGACAGAGACAGAATTTTTTACATAACCATTATTGAAAGGTTGAAGGGTATGGAAATCGAAGGTTTGAGGGGGGGGGGGGGGTGCAAGGTGCAAATCGAAAACTTGAGGGGGGGGGGGGGTGCAAATAAAAAGTTTGAGGGGGGGGGGGTGCAAATCGAAAGTTTTGTCCCCGGGTGACGGGAAGGGTCGCTACGCCTCTGGAAGGAGTTTGTCGATTTAAAATAGGTGGTGCCCGCCACCCTACCGATATTTTAGAATGTGCTCTAGAGTAAAAAAAAGGTTGGGAACCCCTGCCCTAGAAGGTATGATAAAGTAGCCCATAGTTTTACCGCTAGTCCCTGGCCGTGTGTTAGCCTGCCGTTGTAATATAGCACCGTTCTCCCCGTCTCGTTGAAGAGCACACCAAAACCCATTTGATCGTATTTTTCTTGACCGTTAGCATTGCCCCAATTGAGAAAGTAACCGTCAGGGTCATTCTGGAAACATCAAACATCAGATACATATTTATACAATCACAATTACTATTAATTGTTAATTAGAAAGCGGTTCAGGTATTATGTTTACATGTAGGTTTCAAACAGCTCGTTAATTCTTATAGTCATTACTTCAAGAGCGTTTTCAATTTTATAGACAACTAAACGACCCAGTTTTCCGTTAGAAAAAGATCTGTAAAGTCCATCTATTCTACAACTTAATGTACAATTACTAAATTAAGAAGAAAATATATTTAGCTATTTCTTAACGTTTTATTGCCTAGACAAGTAAGTGGAATTACCCTGTCTAATTCAGTAAACTCGGAAGATGGCAGTTGCTTAAGTGAAATTACCCTGTTCAATTCAGTAAACTCGGAAGATGGCAGTTGCTTAAGTCGAATTACCCTGTCTAATTCAGTAAATTCGGAAGATGGCAGTTGCTTAAGTGAAATTACCCTGTCTAATTCAGTAAACTCGGAAGATGGCAGTTGCTTAAGTGAAATTACCCTGTCTAATTCAGTAAACTCGGAAGATGGCAGTTGCTTAAGTGAAATTACCCTGTCTAATTCAGTAAACTCGGAAGATGGCAGTTGCTTAAGTGAAATTACCCTGTCTAATTCAGTAAACTCGGAAGATGGCAGTTGCTTTTTGTAAGCATCCACAAGTCTTGGAGAGGTCTCTTTAGTTGTAGAAATCGGTGTGATCAGGTTGGTCAACCGGTCAGCACTGTAAGTCATCGGCTCAATTTGCAGCAAGGCTTCCTGACGGTCCGCGTAGAGACCAAAGGCAACGAAAAGCAAAGGGAGTATAATTAAAATGAGTGAAGACACGAGGCTTCGTTTAAACAAAATGAACTTCTTGATGAAGATCCCCCTCAGCTGCTGGTAGAAGACGGCTGGTTTCGTGGTACACTTGCTTTCGTTAAAGATCTTGAAGATTTGTTCTGTCAATATAAGTACCGCGTCAATCAATTAAAACAAATGATATTCGACATTGTCAAGCAACATATAGGGCTATAGTTATACTGTCTGACCGTCTGTCTGTCTGTCTGTCTGTCCATCTGTCCGACTGTCTGTCTGTCCGTCCGTCCGTCCGTCCGTCCGTCCGTCCGTCCGTCCGTCTGTCTGTCTGTCTGTCTGTCTGTCCGTCCGTCCGTCCGTCCGTCCGTCCGTCCGTCCGTCCGTCTGTCTGTCTGTCAGTCTGTCTGTCTGATGAGAACGCTCTAGAGAAAATACAAGGAAAATAAAAAGTTTAACAGTGAACTATATTGACATTACATGAAACGAATAGCAATTTATTCAAATGAAACGAAACAAAAGTTTTGGAGCCAAAAAAGTACACACTATAAAATAACGTCATAGATTCTAGAGTAATGATAGACACACAATTTAATAACGTCATAGATTCTAGAGTAATGATAGAAATGAAAAAACGACACAATTAAAGCGGGAGTCATCTCCCTAAACTTTCTCGAATATTCTTATATAACACTACAGGGATGGTAACTCAGGATTATAGACATGATTCGCATCAGTTTTTACATACTTAAGTTAAACTTTTTAAAAATAGAATAGAATCTAGTAGAAAAAAGTATTACACACCAAGTGAACGGCAATCAATATGTGTATAATAGTGCGGAATACTAGTGCTTTATAAATTCATATGCGTTTTTTTTTTTTTTTTTTTTGAGAAATCATAAATAGCGTAAAATACTACTTCTGTGCAACGGAAATTACTCAAAATTTTATAGAAGACAGAAAATTAGATCTTGTATTCAGTGGCGTAGCGAGGTCGGGTGTCACCCGGTGCGGCACTTAATGTCGTCACCCCCCCCCAGAGACGTAGCGACCCTTCCCGGGGAAAAAACTTTCAAGTTTTCGATTTGCACCCCCCCCTCTCAAACTTTCGATTTGCAACCCCCCCCCCCCCCTGCTTGTATTTATATATGAAAATTCGTTTATCTATATGAAACAGAACTCAACTTATAGGCGTTTGAAAAACCAAAATTAAAATAAGTTCCACTTCCGGTTACTGGATATCGCTGAAAAGTTGATACAGTACTACAAATTTGATAGAATACGTATATATGAAATTTAAACGACCGAGCTTTATAGACCTAGCTTTAGTACTAATATCCTCTTAGTTTCTTTTAGACATTCTTCTCCGTGTAGGCAGCTATTTAAATTTTCGGAGGGAGGGACACTGCTAAAAGTATATATTTTTCTTTAAAAATTCTATTTCTTTCAGATGTCTTAAAGTAACTCTAAATGCTACCTTAGGGGCAAGCTTTACAGGTATAATCTACGACTATATTTAGTACGAGATAAATTTCATCAACCTAGCTGTAACGGTACTCAAGTTATAGCGTTTATACACACAAACACACACACACAGACACACATATACACAGACATACGGACAAGATTGCAAAACTATGTTTTTTCTGACTAAGAGAGCCCTAAAACGTCGAGATTTACAAAAATCTCGAATTTTATTTTATTTTTTTGCACGATTAGAAGATCATCTCTACACTTCAAATATACGAGAAAGTAATTAACGATACGCAATGTTTAAAATTACGTTATTACTAATAAGAGACAAAACAAGTTAATAAAAAGTCTAGTGACAAATTAAGCGCAATTTCCTTAATTAATCTTTTGTGACCAAACGAAAGGATATTTTTTGAAAACTTTCTTCGCCAATATTGTTTTAAATTATGGCAGAAATCGATTGGTAAATGTTTCAAGTCGCTAAGTTGTCTAGTTGCCGAGATATGGGCCAAAAACTGCATTTTTTTTTAAGTTTTTTTTTGCTATTTTCCGGGAAATCCAGGATGGAATTTCGGGAATTTGTTTAGCCCACAATCATCCTCGGAACTTGCTTAACATATTTGCTTTTGGAACTAGTCCTCGATATTGCTTCGTTGAGGACTTAAAGCTGGGGACACACATCCATCCAGAAATGACGAGTTAATAATCGCAATTCCTGTAACGAAATTGCGCTAAAAAATAGATAAACGCCTTATTTATTTGCCTAATTTGCTTCCCCTTGGCACCATAACTTTTAGGCTACCATCTTTACAGCTCTGAATTGGAGCCTAAATACAAAGAAATTGCATCAGATTGTACATCAGGCTCATACTAAATACAAACCTGTAGGTGTGGTGCTTGATCCTTTAGTTAAATCAACAGCACTAGATTTAGGTCTGAAATTTAACATTGAAAATAATGTTAGCTTTAAGTGCGTTGCTTGTCAATGTAGTAGAATAATGTGTGTTAAAAATGTTATGGACACTGATTACTTCAGGAAGTAGGGCCTAGGCCTACCCACTATTTAAATCGCAGTTGATGTTAACCAATTAGGAACCGGTACAATCTAAGCCTAATTCTCCCTCATGTATCGATGTATGCAGTTTACATAAATTAACCTTCTTAGAAGACTTAAAATAAAAAGAACTTACCTTTCCTTCGGTCCAGATTCTGTCATTTCAATAACTCTAAAACAGCATACGTTTGTTTATATAAATACAAATATAATACAATAATACAATATATATATATATATATATATATATATATATATATATATATATATATATATATATATATATATATATATATATATATATATATATATGTGTGTGTCTGTGTGTGTCTGAATGTATCTGTGTTTGTGTGTATTTTTGAGTTTGTGTGTGAGTGTGTGTGAGTGCGTGCGTGCGTGCGTGCGTGCGTGTGTGCGTGCGTGTGTGTGTGTGTGAGTGTGAGTTTGTGTTTGTGTTTTGTTTGTGTTTGTGTTTGTGTTTGTGTGTGTATGTGTGTATGTGTGTGTGTGAGTTTAAGTTTGTGTTTGTGTTTTGTTTGTGTGTGTATGTGTGTGTGTGTGTGCGTGCGTGCGTGCGTGTTACATGACAAAAGCTAAAGATTACTTATTATTGGGCTTTTTTTTTTAGGATGGCGCGACCTAACAATTGTCCTCCGCGAACAAATTCCAGCAAATGGTATCAATAAACATCCAGTTTTCTTCTGTACTGAGCTATTACAGCGTGTGTGTTTTCGTATTAAGACAACATTAGCCAACTGGCTGAATGGAGGGTAGTGGGTTTGAAAGAAAGTCTAAGAATATTTGAACAGTTCAACCTACACGGACGACTGGTAGAAAATGGGTTTGAAAGAAAGTCTAAGAATATTTGAACAGTTCAACCTACACGGACGACTGGTCATCTTTTTTGTTCGCTTCAGCTACATCTTCAGCTACTCCTCCTTCTCCGACTCTGAAAATGACAATTGAGGAAAGATGTAGGGTGGACCTGGTGGAGGGGATTCAAGAAATGTTGTATGGTGGACCTGGTGGAGGGAATTATAGATATGTATGGTGGAGGGATTATAGAAATGTATGTTGTATGAATTAAAGAAATGTATGGTGGGGGGGGGGGATTAAAGAACTGTTGTATAGTGGAGTGGATTAAAGAAATGTATGTTGTGTGGATTAAAGAAATTTTGTATGGTGGAGGGGATTATAGAATTGTTGTAAAGTGGAGGGGATTAAAGAAATGTTGCATGTTGTGTGTAATACGTGTCTAATCCAACTCTACACCTCAGCTAATACGTGTCTAATCCAACTCTACACCTCAGCTAATACGTGTCTAATCCAACTCTACACCTCAGCTAATACGTGTCTAATCCAACTCTACACCTCAGCTAATACGTGTCTAATCCAACTCTACACCTCAGCTAATACGTGTCTAATCCAACTCTACACCTCAGCTAATACGTGTCTAATCCAACTCTACACCTCAGCTAATACGTGTCTAATCCATTCTACACCCCAACTAATACGTGTCTAATCCATTCTACACCTCAACTAATACGTGTCTAATCCAACTACACCTCAGCTAATACGTGTCTAATCCAACTCTACACCTCAGCTAATACGTGTCTAATCCAACTCTACACCTCATCTAATACGTGTCTAATCCAACACTACACCTCTGCTAATATGTGTCTAACCCAACTCTACACCTCAGCTAATACGTGTCTAATCCAACTCTACACCTCAGCTAATACGTGTCTAATCCAACTCTACACCTCAACTAATACGTGTCTAACCCAACTCTACACCCCAACTAATACATGTCTAATCCAACTCTACACCTCAGCTAATACGTGTCTAATCCAACTCTACACCGCAATTAATACGTGTCTAATCCAACACCGACTAAGCCTCAACTAATCGCCTAGATGTCAAGAAGCGCCACAATGGGGGTGCATGAGGGGGGGGGGGGCGTACCGCACGGGCTGACACTGTTTAGGGGGTGACACTAAGGCAAAAAATTGAATGTGGATACAATTGTAATATGTGCTTTTTAAAAAATGTATATACACATTTAAAACAAATGATGATTACTAAATATTAGAAAGTATATAAAACTGGAGAATAAAATAAAATATAAAGACCGTTAAAATAACAAGGTTTTAAATTCATTGAAAATAATAAAACAAACTTTCTTTAATAAAAGCTTTGATTGCTAAAATATGTAAGAGATAGCATGATATCTAATTTTTAGCAATAAGCATTTGTTTTGTTTTTAAATTTGTTTAGATTTTAATTTTAAAAGCACGTGATATATTTTTTTCACCATTCAATTCGTTTCTATTTCAGTCAACACAAACACACGACTAGAAATAGTTTCTTAAAAATATCAGCAACTTGCTATCTGAACTCCGTTTATTAATTTTTTAATAAATTATTCAATATCAAATATGGTGATTTTTATGTATTTTTGTATTGTCGTTTTAAACAAAGATGTAGTGAAAGTTGAAATAAATGTGTAACACAGGTAACTATAAGTTAAAGGATGTGAACACAAACCCACCACCTACCTATCTATTTATGTGAGAGCTTGTACAATCAGATATTTTTCACTATTTGAGTAACAATTTATTCGTTTCAAATTAAAATTAGCAATAACGTCAATAATACAATTTAAATATTTAAATGAAATTGATACGGTGAAAAGAAATATCATTAAAAAATAGATAAATGTAAAGCGTAAAACAAAAGATAAATAGATAAATGTAAAGCGTAAAACAAAAGATAAATAGATAAATGTAAAGCGTAAAACAAAAGATAAAAAGATAAATGTAAAGCGTAAAACAAAAGATAAATAGATAAATGTAAAGCGTAAAACAAAAGATAAATATAGACGAACTTTACAAAGACATCCTCCATTGTGGTTGCTGTCAGACCGAAACCAGTTATTTTTAGCTGTTCGGCGTCGTTTTCTAGAACCTTCAACAACTCTGGAAACATTTCTGTCACATTTTCAGGCAACAGGTAGTCTATCTCAGAGTTGGTTTCGCTCTACAGAAATAAATCAAAAGATGGTAAAACATCTACAGCAATATATCAATAGATGGTCTAACATCTACAGGAATACAACAATAGATGGTCTAACATCTACATCAATATATCAATAGATGGTCTAACATCTACAGGAATACAACAATAGATGGTCTAACATCTACAGGAATACAACAATAGATGGTCTAACATCTACAGAAATATATCAATAGATGGTCTAACATCTACATCAATATATCAATAGATGGTCTAACATCTACAGGAATACAACAATAGATGGTCTAACATCTACAGAAATATATCAATAGATGGTCTAACATCTGTTCTACAGCAATATATCAATAGATGGTCTAACATCTACAGCAATATATCAATAGATGGTCTAACATCTACAGCAATATATCAATAGATGGTCTAACATCTACAGGAATACAACAATAGATGGTCTAACATCTACAGGAATGTATCAATAGATGGTCTAACATCTGTTCTACAGCAATATATCAATAGATGGTCTAACATCTACAGCAATATATCAATAGATGGTCTAACATCTACAGCAATATATCAATAGATGGTCTAACATCTACAGGAATACAACAATAGATGGTCTAACATCTACAGCAATATATCAATAGATGGTCTAACATCTACAGCAATATATCAATAGATGGTCTAACATCTACAGCAATATATCAATAGATGGTCTAACATCTACAGGAATGTATCAATAGATGGTCCAACATTGAAAGAATTTTGTCTATAAAAAAACTTTACAGAATTAATATTTCATGGAAACTACATGGAATGACAAAGTAAACGGATATTTCATCCAATGTAGTACCATTGATTCAATGGTTCTATGTGTCTAAAAAGCTGAATCCTATCGAGTTGCAGACAGAATAGATTACCACCGTTTAATGGCATATATATATATATATATATATATATATATATATATATATATATATATATATATATATATATATATATATATATACATTATATACATATATATATACATATATATATATATATATATATATATATATATATATATATATATATATATATATATATATATATAATTATAATAATGTACGTATAGTGATACAATAGTAGTAGGACAATATACTGATTCTTAAAGTTTGAACACGTACTATGTACTTAGCTTTAGGAATAATCTGAAGAATCTGCTCAGTCACAACATCCGTCAAACAAGATGGCTGCTTAACGATCTTCAGTGTATATCCTGCCCCTGTTAAACACAGCATAGCATTACAATCTCATGATATCCTGCCCCTGTTAAACACACCATAGCATTACAATCTCATGATATCCTGCCCCTGTTAAACACAGCATAGCATTACAATCTCATGATAACTTGCCCCTGTTAAACACAGCATAGCATTACAATCTCATGATAACTTGCCCCTGTTAAACACAGCATAGCATTACAATCTCATGATATCCTGCCCCTGTTAAACACAGCATAGCATTACAATCTCATGATAACTTGCCCCTGTTAAACACAGCATAGCATTACAATCTCATGATAACTTGCCCCTGTTAAACACAGCATAGCATTACAATCTCATGATATCCTGCCCCTGTTAAACACAGCATAGCATTACAATCTCATGATATCCTGCCCCTGTTAAACACAGCATAGCATTACCATCTCTGTTACAAATAGCATACCATTACATTGAGGTTTATATAGAGTAGAAATGCATGTTGAACCGATTTGATCCGGAATCTGAAATTTTGACGGAACAATGACCACAAACAAAAATTTATTCGGAAACGGCAATTTTACCGAAAACTGACCTACAACCGAAATGGGGGGGGGGGAGTCTAAAACCAGGAAATAACCAAAAACTTGAAATTTAAACGCAACTGAATTTTTATTTGGTGCCATAAATTTAACCAGAACCAGAACCGGAAATTAAACCGGAACTCTGAATTAAAGTATGAAATTTAAATTAAACCAGAATGGAAATTGCGCTAAAAATGAAACAAACACTGGTCGCATTTGTAGATCATACTTGAAATTTTTGCAGGTGCGAATAAAATCGAGTATCGATGACGTCATTATTATGGTGTATTTTTCGGCAGTGATCTTTTAATTCTGTTTACTCTAGAATCAATGACGACATATTATTGAGTGTACTTTTCCGGCTTTAGAATATTTCCTACTATATGTGCCATGTGACGTTACGATTTGTTTTTATTTTTACTGTTAAAATGATTCCTTTCCTTGTTTTTTCTCTAACAGATAAAGTGACAGACAGAGCGACAGAATAGTGAAAACTATTATTATAGATTTAAATCCTTAAATATATTATTTAAATACCCTGGACCAGTGTGGACCCTGTATATCCTTGACCAGTGTGGACCCTGGATCTCATGGACCAGTGTGGACCCTGGATAAGTGTGGACCCTGGATAATTGTGGACCCTGGATCTCTAGGACCAGAATGGACCCTGGATCTCCTGAACCTGAGTGGACACTAAGTCTCTTGGAATAGTGCAATGACAGGTGCAAATTCACATCAAGCTCAAACAGTTTGCCACAAGTGCAACATATATCTTTGTTGTAACAAGATCAACAACTGTCTTAAAAAGTATCACCTTACTACATGATGTTGCAGACATGCAACATTTCGGATTTTAATTAAAGAACATGATTAAACTAAAAATATTTTTTTACTTGACTATACTCTTCATATACCCACCAAAACAATATAAAAATATTTTTTTCAATCATTATTAAAAAGTCATGCATTTAAGGGTTAATCAATTCCTATTACAATTTATTAAAACAGTTTCAAAAACACGAAATAACGTCTAAAATTCGTTTTCAAAAATTGCCTGTTTATAATGCAAAAGTGTGACGTCGCGCCATCTGAACCTCCTCCCCCTCATCACACACCGTCACAAAAGTACGGACCCCCCTCCCCCCTACGAGTGTGACGTCATTTATGGACGACCCCCCCCCCCCAACACCGAACCATCTAATTTACTCACCATAAACCCTCTTTAAAAACAAGGGTGTGCTACAACACTGAACCATCTAATTTACTCACCATAAACTCTCTTTAAAAACATGGGTGTTCTACATCACTGAACCATCTAATTTACTCACCATATACCCTCTTTAAAAACATGAGTGTGCTACAACACTGAACCATCTAATTTACTCACCATAAACTCTCTTTAAAAACATGGGTGTGCCGCAGCATTTAACTCTCCCCTCCGCCATGATGGCGATTCTGTCGCCCAGTACATCTGCCTCGTCCATGTAATGGGTCGTTAAAAGGATGGTTCGACCTTCTCTCATTGTCTTTAGGAAGGCCCACATTTCCCGTCTGGCGGCGGGGTCAAGGCCGGACGATGGCTCGTCCAGGAAGATGACCTGTCAATTAACTTCTCATTTGATCAATCAATGATTAACATCGTTATCGGAAATAGCTCGTTACCCTAGTTCTTGACTAGACATTAACACGAAAACTCTATACACAACTGACCCCACTCACCTTTGTATCACCACTGAAAGCACATGCTAAAGACAATTTCCGCTTTTGTCCGCCTGACAGTTTTGAAGCCAAGCTGTTCATTTTCCCACCCAGACCAAGAGCGTTAAGACGGTCAACGATGGCGGCCTTGGACTCATTGTTGTACAACCCGTGAATCTCAAAAAATACAAAACAATATCTAGAGGCAGGCGAAATGGTAGTAGAGCTAGCGGCAGGTCAAATTGTAGTAGAGCTAGCGGCAGGTCAAATTGTAGTAGAGCTAGCGGCAGGTCAAACTGTAGTAGAGCTAGCGGCAGGTCAAAACTAGAGCTAGAGGCAATCGAAATGGTAGTAGAGCTAGCGGCAGGTCAAACTGTAGTAGAGCTAGCGGCAGGTCAAACTGTAGTAGAGCTAGCGGCAGGTCAAACTGTAGTAGAGCTAGCGGCAGGTCAAACTGTAGTAGCTAGCGGCAGGTCAAACTGTAGTAGAGTTAAGGCTGGCAAAACTAGAGCTAGAGGCAATCGAAATGGTAGTAGAGCTAGCGGCAGGTCAAACTGTAGTAGAGCTAGCGGCAGGTCAAACTGTAGTAGAGCTAGCGGCAGGTCAAACTGTAGTAGCTAGCGGCAGGTCAAACTGTAGTAGAGTTAAGGCTGGCAAAACTAGAGCTAGAGGCAATCGAAATGGTAGTAGAGCTAGCGGCAGGTCAAACTGTAGTAGAGCTAGCGGCAGGTCAAACTGTAGTAGAGCTAGCGGCAGGTCAAACTGTAGTAGAGCTAGCGGCAGGTCAAAACAAGAGCTAGAGGCAATCGAAATGGTAGCAGAACGAGAAGCGTTGATATAGGAGTGCGCGGTGCTGACCGCACTGGATGACGCCATGTAAGAGGGTGATAAGACAAAACCGTGCAAAGTATATAGAAGAAAAGGTTTGTTTTTTCATTTTAATTAATCATTAATTAGAGTTTAAAAGTCAAATACTAATTGACGATCCCGACTGGTGGAATAAAACGGAAGAAATGTGACCAACATCACAGCTGTAATGAGCAAGTATATTTTAGAGTTGTCATGTTATTTTACCGTACAATGAGCAATTATATTTTAGAGTTGTCGTGTTATTATGTCGTCGCTCTATTACCTTGAGGGAAAAGATGAGGTGTTCCTTGCATGTGAGTTTAGCGAACAGGATGTCGTGTTGAGGACAGAGGCCAATAGATTTTCTGGCAGCGTCAGTATTCTTACGCATGTCCAGACCATGTACGGTTATGGTTCCACTTGTAGCAGGAAGAAAACCTAAAGAGTTGTGAAATGATACTTTTGGTTGTATTTGGCTTGGAGGTTAGCTTTAAGATTTCACTCAAAGATTGAAAATGGGGTTTTATTTTAGACTCCCCACACATAATTTAACGCTGATGTATTTGAACACTGACCCACCTGTGATCATGTTGATTGTAGTTGTCTTCCCTGCCCCGTTGTGACCTAGCAACACGGTTATCTGCCCCTCGTACACGTCCATATTTGTCCCAGCAACGGCGACATTTTTACCAAACATCTGGGGATCAGCAGTAGCAGTATAAAAACTACAAACAGCAAGTAGCAGTATAAAAACTACAAACAGCAAGTAGCAGTATAAATACTACAAACAGTAGTAGCAGTATAAAAACTACAAACAGCAAGTAGAAGTATAAAAACTACAAACAGTAGTAGCCGTATAAAAACTACAAACAGTAGTAGCAGTATAAAAACTACAAACAGTAGTAGCAGTATAAAAACTACAAAAAGTAAAAGCAGTATAAAAACTACAAACAATTGGAGCAGTATAAAAAACTACAAATAGCATCAGAAGTAAAAAAAATATACAGTAGTAGCAGATTTAAAAAATCCACAAATAATAGTGGTATAAAAAAATACAATTCTTTCAAAATATTCCCAAACATCAGAAAGCTTGGCTCATAGCACCCCCACTAATATATATATATATATATATATATATATTAATACTAATAGTTTCGCTGTCTGTCTATCTGACAAGAACGCTCTGTCTGACAAGAACGCTCTAGAGAAAACACAAGGAAATTAAAAACATGCATAGTATTTCGAAAAACGAAGTATGACGTCGACACATTTAGCACAGAGTAGAAAATAATCTCAAAGCGGAGAGTAAACATTGAATAAAAAGGAAATTTTGTCTTATCTAAGTGGTTTGCGTGAAGAGTTTCTTTCATACAATTCTTCGGGTAGGAGCGAAGCCCCACCCCCGCGTAAGAACGTCTGAGCCCCCCCCCCCCCTCCCTAACTCAAAAGAAATTTCTTCATCGATACTCTATAATAAAATTACCGCCTAATTAATGTGTCTAATCTAAAAAGTGGTTTTCTTGCAATTTCTTTAATGCAATTCTTCGGGTAGTGGCTAAGCGCGACACCAGTGTTTCTTTCAGACTTTTTCCTCCCCGGAGAGGGGTGGGGGGTACTTGAAATTTTCGGGGGCGGGGGTAGAATTTTCTGGGAGGGGGCGGACACTGGAAAAAGTATATAATTATATTTCGTTGAATGGGACGGTAGACATGTTTTTGGGGGCGGTGTGTGGGGGGGGGGTGGTGTGTGTGGGGGGTGGTGTGTGGGGTGGGGGGTGGTGTGTGTGGGGGGGTGGGTTGGTTTTAGTTTAGAGAAAAGAGACAGCACTATCAGCCTAGCGCCCGTTGTACCCTTCCTCAACGGGCCATTTTTCTCGTATATATTATTAATACTAATAGTTTCGCTGTCTGTCTATCTATCTGACAAGAACGCTCTGTCTGTCTATCTGACAAGAACGCTCTAGAGAAAACACAAGCAAATTAAAAACCTGCATAGTAATTCGAAAAACGAAGTATGACGTCGACACATTTAGCATAGAGTTGAAAATAATCTCAAGGCGGAAAGTGCACACAGTAATCTAATGACGTCATTGATTATCGCGTAAACATTGAATAAAAAGGAAATGTCTAATCTAAATGGTTTGCGTGAGAGTTTCTTGCATACAATTCTTCGGGTAGAGGCGAAGCCCCACCCCCCGCGTAAGAACGTCTGAGCCCCCCCCCCCCTCCCCAACTCAAAAGAAATGGTGTGTGGGGGGGGGGGGGGGTGTGTGGGGTTGGGGGGGGTGGTGTGTGGGGGGGTGGGTTGGTTTCAGTGTTTCTTTCAGACTTTTTCCTCCCCGGAGAGGGGTGGGGGTACTTGAAATTTTCGGGGGCGGGGGTAGAATTTTCTGGGAGGGGGCGGACACTGGAAAAAGTATATAATTATATTTCGTTGAATGGGACGGTAGACATGTTTTTTTTTGGGGGGGGGGGGGGGGGGTGGAGGGGGGGGCCGAGGGGTGGGGGAGGGGTGTGGGGCGGTGTGTGTAGGGGGTGGTGTGTGTGGGGGTGGGGGTGGTGTGTGGTGGGGGTGGGGGGTGGTGTTTGGGGGTGGGGGGGGTGGGGGTGGGGGTGGTGTGTGGGGGGGGGGGGTTGGTTTTAGTTTAGAGAAAAGAGACAGCACTATCAAAATGCGAACGCAAGCGCAATAAAACAAAAACGAAAACGAAAACACAATTGCTAACTCAAACTCAACACACAAACACAATCACAAACGCAAACGCAAACCTAAACGACAACAATTACGCATAACATAAACACAACCAAAATGAAAACGCCTCATTTAACTTAGTAAACGACTATAATACCCCAGCTTATCCATTGTCTATTATACTCACTTTAACGAACGTAGGCGTCATAGCGCTCACGGGAAGGCCCGGGGCGCCAAATAGAAATTTATTGGGGCGCCGAATTTGCGCGCAACTGTAAGTCTTTGGGATTGCGTGCGTGCGCGTGCGTGTATGTGTGTGGGTATGTGCGTGTGTGTGTGTTACGATAAAAGCCCGTAATCGGCTAATGTGAATATGGCCTATATCCCCTCCCATTAACCGGCTAGTGCCCAAAATAGTTCTTGATTTAGGACAATTCAGGCCAAAGTGTGTCATGGTTTGACCAAATTATCATGGTTTGACTTGATCTTCCAGTCAATATTTCAGATTTCTTTTTCTCATTAAAATAAAGTATTGATGTACCTTAATTAAGTTTCGGACTTGGATCCCGGCTTTCCAATCGCTGTTCGGTGTCTCAAAGTATTTTTCCTCCTCAGGGGGGATGTCTGGCAACTCCTTTTCTTCTACAGCAGTTGGGACCCAGTAGCTCCGCTGTTCATAGATTCATAACAGCTAGTCATCAACTATCCATCTTTGTGTTTGTCCGTCAGTCAGTCCATCAATTTCAATCCCAACCACCCATCCACCCATACATCCATTCATGCATCATCCACGTATACATCCATCCGTCCATCCGTCCGTCCGTCCGTTCGTCCATCCTATCGTCCATCCATCCATCCATCCATCCATCCATCCATCCATCCATCCATCCATCCATCCATCCGTCCATCCGTCCATCCGTCCATCCGTCCATCCGTCCATCCGTCCATCCGTCCATCCGTTCATCCGTCCATCCGTCCATCCGTCCATCCGTCCATCCGTCCATCCGTCCATCCGTCCATCCGTCCATCCGTCCATCCGTCCATCCGTTCATCCGTCCATCCGTCCATCCGTCCATCCGTCCATCCGTCCATCCGTCCATCCGTCCATACGTCCATCCGTCCATCCGTCCATCCGTCCATCCGTCCATCCGTCCATCCATCCATCCATCCGTCCATCCATCCATCCGTCAATCCGTCCATCCATCCATCCGTCCATCCGTCAATCCGTCCATCCATGCATCCATCCATCCATCCATCCATCCATCCATCCATCCATCCATCCATCCATCCATCCATCCATCCATCCATCCATCCATCCATCCATCCATCCATCCATCCATCCACACATCTATCCATCCACACATCCATCCATCCATCCATCCATCCATCAATACGAGACCATGAATGCAACCACTCACTATACTTACAGTAAAGAGAAAATTGCAAGGTTTCGGAGTGCCGAACTCCCCTGGGAAAACATTGCTCAAGTACCAGACAAAGAAGACATTAAACATTGTGTTCATGATCATGATGAGGATACCATCAAGGAAGGTTTTATGTGGATCGTTTTCGTTGATAGCCATTGTTGAAAAATAAACTGGTCTACCTGGGAAAAAATTCGATTCAAATTCAATCTTTCAATTTGATTCTTTTTAGAAAGAGTGAGTAAGAAACATGGTGTTATCTCCCCTAAACGTTCGCGAATATTCTTATATAACACTGCGGGGAATGGAAACTCTGGATATAGACAGGATTTTTAATCAATTTTTAATTACTTAAACTTTTTAAAATAGAATAGAATCTCGTAGATAAAAGAATTGCGCACCAAGTGAACGCTAAACAATCTGTATAATAGTGCGGAATATTATTAGCACTTTATAAATTCACATGCATTTTTACTACTTCCGGTCAACGGAAATTACTCAAAATTTGTCAGAAAGCAGAGAATTAGATATTCTACTTATTTGTGAAATTTCGTTTATATATCTGAAACTGTAGTCAACTAATGTAGGCTTTTGAAAAACCAAAAGTAGAAAACATTCCACTTACGTTTACCGGAAATCGCTTAAAAGTTGATACAGAACTACAAATTTCATATAATACTTATATATAAAATTTCATCAACCTAGATGTAACGGTACTCAAGTTATCGTGTTTACAGACACACATACACACACAGACATGCAGACAGAATTGCAAAGTCCAGTTTTTTTCGACTCCATTAGCATATAACGCTGAAATATTTTGATAAATTTACATTTATTATTTGTGCTCTATTAAAATAAGTCCCTATACTCCGTATATGATGAAGTACTGAGGTGTAAAACGATTAAAAATCAAAGCTTCATGTGATTAGTGTGCACGATTGCAATACTTCCTCTATACTCTGTATACGAGAAAGTAAAAAATTCATAAAAAAAAACGTTTTAATAACAAAACTTTATGTAATAATGCATTAAAAAGTAGAAAATAAATTATACACTACTATTTAAATAACTATAAGAAAAGCGTGGGTCATTTAAGTATCTATTAGATACATTTACTAATATTTAAGAAGAGACCCACGTTAGTAAACATGCAAATACATCTGATGTCTAGTGTTGACCGTTAGTAAACATGCAGGTACACCTGATGTCTAGCGTTGACCGTTAGTAAACATGCAGGTACACCTGATGTCTAGTGGCCACCGTTAGTAAACATGCAGGTACACCTGATGTCTAGTGGCACTGAGACCGTTAGTAAACATGCAGGTACACCTGATGTCTAGTGGCCACCGTTAGTAAACATGCAGGTACACCTGATGTCTAGTGGCCACCGTTAGTAAACATGCAGGTACACCTGATGTCTAGTGGCCACCGTTAGTAAACATGCAGGTACACCTGATGTCTAGTGCCGACCGTTAGTAAACATGCAGGTACACCTGATGTCTAGTGGCGACCGTTAGTAAACATGCAGGTACACCTGATGTCTAGTGGCCACCGTTAGTAAACATGCAGGTACACCTGATGTCTAGTGGCCACCGTTAGTAAACATGCAGGTACACCTGATGTCTAGTGGCGACCGTTAGTAAACATGCAGGTACACCTGATGTCTAGTGGCGACCGTTAGTAAACATGCAGGTACACCTGATGTCTAGTGGCGACCGTTAGTAAACATGCAGGTATACCTGAGCTTATTGAGCAGAGTTACCTGCTGATTCCTTGTCGTGTAGGACGAGTAATGCCATTCTAAAGCCAAAGCCGTAGACAAAGACTCCAATCATGTAGGTAAACATTCGGGCAAGCTTTAACTTTAGGAAATTGTCCGCGCCAATTTTCACGCCAAAATAGACGATAACGGAGAGGATACCAATGATTCGTCCTGAAAATAAAATCAAATATCATTGATAACTTATCACTAGCTTTACCACACAAATGGTGTAGCTATATCTAAATCTTTGTTACGATCAAAGCCCGGAGTCGGCCAAAGCACGCAAGAACACACATAAACTCATAGACACACACTCAAATATACTCTCATTCGCACTCATAAATACACGCTAACAAAAACACACTCATACACACCCTCACACAAACACACACATCTATACACACATAAACAGTGACACTTTCACACAACTGATATAAAACACAGACTTACACACATTATCAAACACTCCTCTCGCACATACTCACACACACTCACACACACATAGGCTCATACACGTAGGCCCTACTTCGGTTTTTTATTGTAACATATTAAAACGTAAGTAGGTCTGTGGGTTTTTTGTGTCTATATGCATTACTACACCTTTCATCCAATCGCAATAAACTTTTGGAAATTGTTGAGAATTCTCCTGAGGATTAACAATCAGCCATAAGTCAACAGAGCTGTCTAAACCTATGACCACACATCTGTATGTGCAAGTACTTCACTAGACGGTTGATGATACAACTGTCGGTGCCAGTACTTCACTAGACGGTTGATGATACAACTGTCGGTGCCAGTACTTCACTAGACGGTTGATGATACAACTGTCGGTGCCAGTACTTCACTAGACGGTTGATGATACAACTGTCGGTGCCAGTACTTCACTAGACGGTTGATGATACAACTGTCGGTGCCAGTACTTCACTAGACGGTTGATGATACAACTGTCGGTGCCACTACTACACTAATGAAGCTTTACCTCTTTTAATAATTGTTGACATAAGGAAGGCCGCTGTTATCGTGTTGGTGACTATCAACAGTTCGAAGATAAAGAACAAGGGACACGAAGACTTGATCAGTGTCCCGATCTGCGAGTAGTCGAGACAGACCACCACCAACATCACAATGCTCAAATACAGGCCGTAGATGAAGTTCATGACAAACCAGGACATCCAGTAGATCAACTCGCCCAGCCCCATCAGCTTCATGGACTCCTGGGGAGGGGAAGTTGAACATATCAGACCAGGAGAGTTAACCCACGGGCAGGGGAAGTTGAACATATCAGACCAGGAGAGTTAACCCGCGGGCAGGGGGAAGTTGAACATATCAGACCAGGAGAGTTAACCCACGGGCAGGGGGAAGTTGAACATATCAGACCAGGAGAGTTAACCCACGGGCAGGGGGAAGTTGAACATATCAGACCAGGAGAGTTAACCCACGGGCAGGGGGAAGTTGAACATATCAGACCAGGAGAGTTAACCCACGGGCAGGGGGAAGTTGAACATATCAGACCAGGAGAGTTAACCCACGGGCAGGGGGAAGTTGAACATATCAGACCAGGAGAGTTAACCCACGGGCAGGGGGAAGTTGAACATATCAGACCAGGAGAGTTAACCCACGGGCAGGGGGAAGTTGAACATATCAGACCAGGAGAGTTAACCCAAGGGCAGGGGGAAGTTGAACATATCAGACCAGGAGAGTTAACCCACGGGCAGGGGGAAGTTGAACATATCAGACCAGGAGAGTTAACCCACGGGCAGGGGGAAGTTGAACATATCAGACCAGGAGAGTTAACCCACGGGCAGGGGGAAGTTGACAGACCAGGTGAGTTAATCCACGGGCAGGGGGAAGTTGAACATATCAGACCAGGAATGTTAACCCACGGGCAGGGGGAAGTTGAACATATCAGACCAGGAGAGTTAAACCACGGGCAGGGGGAAGTTGAACATATCAGACCAGGAGAGTTAACCCACGGGCAGGGGGAAGTTGAACATATCAGACCAGGAGAGTTAAACAACGGGCAGGTGAGTTTAACATGACAGACCAGGGGAGTTAACCCACGGGCAGGTGAGTTTAACATGACAGACCAGGGGAGTTAAACCACGGGCAGGTGAGTTTAACATGACAGACCAGGAGAGTTAAACCACGGGCAGGTGAGTTTAACACGACAGACCAGGGGAGTTAAGCCACGGGAAGGCGAGTTTAACATGACACACCAGGGGAGTTAACCCACGGGCAGGTGAGTTTAACATGACAGACCAGGGGAGTTAAATCACTGGCAGGTGAGTTTAACATGACAGACCAGGTGAGTTAAACAACGGGCAGGTGAGTTTAACATGACAGACCAGGGGAGTTTTACCTTAATGTCTGTGATGTTGGTAGAATAATTTTACCTTAATGTCTGTGATGTTGGTATAAATAATTGTACCTTAATGTCTGTGATGTTGGTAGAATAATTTTACCTTAATGTCTGTGATGTTGGTAGATTAATTTTACCTTAATGTCTGTGATGTTGGTAGAATAATTTTACCTTAATGTCTGTGATGTTGGTAGAATAATTTTACCTTAATGTCTGTGATGTTGGTAGATTAATTTTACCTTAATGTCTGTGATGTTGGTAGAATAATTTTACCTTAATGTCTGTGATGTTGGTAGAATAATTTTACCTTAATGTCTGTGATGTTGGTAGATTAATTTTACCTTAATGTCTGTGATGTTGGTAGAATAATTTTACCTTAATGTCTGTGATGTTGGTAGAATAATTTTACCTTAATGTCTGTGATGTTGGTAGAATAATTTTACCTTAATGTCTGTGATGTTGGTAGAATAATTTTACCTTAATCTTCTTCTCCCTCTCCTCCACCAGCGTGATTGCGGCGAAACAGAATAAAGGCAGGAACGTGAGTAGATATTCACCAGTGAGAAAACTTATGTTATTTTCTGATTCTTTAGTGGGTAATGTCGGCATTCGGTTGAAAACCAGATCTATTTTACTCATAGGGACGCCGTTTTGTTTCTGCCAGTAGTTGATGAATATCTGTGTCACTCCAAGCATGACGCGAGGTATATCATTCACGGTTAGATCTTTGGAGTTGGTCAAATAGGATGAAATTAAATTATACAGACAGTTCAAAGAATGATATTAGGGGTTGGTAAAATACGTTGATATTAAATTATAATGGCAGTTCAAAGAAAGATAATAGGTCGATATATCACGGGACTGTGCTACGTTTAATTTTTACATTGTGATTTTCTACCCGAAGTAGTTTGTTATCCCATTAATTGTATTTAACGTTTATTACTGGCAACTAATTGGCTTACCAAGTGTTTATTACTATTACTGGCAACAAATTGGCTTACCAAGGCTGTTCCCGTACATTTTGTCTGCATCATATTTGCTGTCTATATTGACCTTGAACTTGAGATTTTTGGGCACTGTGTTGACATCCTCCATTTGAAAGCTTACTATCGGTGACTTGAGGTGTTGTTCTAGAGAGGCGTCATAGCCCATCTTGGCTTCTGCTACGGTCGGGTAAGACTTACCGGCGGGAACTAGAGAAGACAGTGGTCGGGTAACACAACTCTACATCAGATAATGTCGCGAGTTTTTATTTCTACGGTTCACATGAGGCATGTTACTTGGTTTTGGATTTACTTTAAACATGTTAGATTTGGATTTACTTAAGGCATGCTACTTTGGGTGAATGTGTACCTGCCACAGGACTAGTGTTGACACAGGGTGAATGTGTACCTGCCACAGGACTAGTGTTGACATAGGGTGAATGTGTACCTGCCACAGGACTAGTGTTGACACAGGGTGAATGTGTACCTGCCACAGGACTAGTGTTGACACAGGGTGAATGTGTACCTGCCACAGGACTAGTGTTGACATAGGGTGAATGTGTACCTGCCACAGGACTAGTGTTGACATAGGGTGAATGTGTACTTGCCACAGGACTAGTGTTGACACAGGGTGAATGTGTACCTGCCACAGGACTAGTGTTGACACAGGGTGAATGTGTACCTGCCACAGGACTAGTGTTGCGCAGGGTGAATGTGTACCTGCCACAGGACTAGTGTTGACACAGGGTGAATGTGTACCTGCCACAGGACTAGTGTTGACACAGGGTGAATGTGTACAAGCCACAGGACTAGTGTTGACACAGGGTGAATGTGTACAAGCCACAGGACTAGTGTTGACACAGGGTGAATGTGTACCTGCCACAGGACTAGTGTTGACACAGGGTGAATGTGTACAAGCCACAGGACTAGTGTTGACACAGGGTGAATGTGTACCTGCCACAGGACTAGTGTTGACACAGGGTGAATGTGTACCTGCCACAGGACTAGTGTTGACACAGGGTGAATGTGTACAAGCCACAGGACTAGTGTTGACACAGGGTGAATGTGTACCTGCCACAGGGCTAGTGTTGACACAGGGTGAATGTGTACCTGCCACAGGACTAGTGTTGACACAGGGTGAATGTGTACCTGCCACAGGACTAGTGTTGACATAGGGTGAATGTGTACAAGCCACAGGACTAACGTTGACATAGGGTGAATGTGTACAAGCCACAGGACTAGTGTTGACACAGGGTGAATGTGTACCTGCCACAGGACTAGTGTTGACACAGGGTGAATGTGTACCTGCCACAGGACTAGTGTTGACACAGGGTGAATGTGTACCTGCCACAGGGCTGTAACGACAGCCTGTTAGACCTACATGTTCTTCCCTCGTCCACTTTCAACATCTGCTCCAATGCTCGGGAGACCGGCGTGTAAAACAAGACCAGCTGAAAATCTTCGTACAGGAAGAAAGTCCACTCTTGCTCAAATCGAACTGCGGGTTTCTCGATCACAGTCTTCCCCTTGGATTGAACGTACATGACCATACTGGCTATCAACAACGGGAACACTGAAATACAGGGACGCTAAGTGTTAGACTCATCTGGTGTAAGCAATACAAGTGTGTCACGTGATGTGTACAAAGATTTGTCAGTGGCAGTAGCAAACAACTAAAAAAAAAAATTGTTTGTTAGATTATATCAGCGAACTTGGCACGTGAGTTAAAACGAAAGCTTATAAACACACAGGGAAACAGCGACTATAAATACCCAGGAAAACCCAGGAAAACAGCGACTATAAATACCCAGGAAAACCCAGGAAAACAGCGACTATAAATACCCAGGAAAACCCAGGAAAACAGCGACTATAAATACCCAGGAAAACCCAGGAAAACAGCGACTATAAATACCCAGGAAAACCCAGGAAAACAGCGACTAAAAATACCCAGGAAACAGCGACTATAAATACACAGGAAAACCCAGGGAAACAGCGACTATAAATACCCAGGAAAACCCAGGGAAACAGCGACTATAAATACCCAGGGAGACAGCGATTATAAATACTATACCTGGAAATCCCGAGTAGAGCGTCGGAAATTATCCGGCAATGTTGGTTTAATTTCAACCATGTTGTTTTACCGTTGAAATATAATAAAGTCGATGTATTCAACTAATGTGTAAACGTAATTTTAAGTTCAACACAAGTTAACAGAAATACATTTTTGTTCTAGATTCTAAATATAAATCATAATGTCAAGTGTAGAGATTAGTTTAATGATTTTTTTTTAAACACAGAAATAAAAACTTGCGGATGATTTGCGACAATCAATTTAGAATATGATCTAGAAATTCTGGATCTAGTAAAACAGTATTTCACATGCAAAAAATCAATCTATCCAAATTTTCAAACATTCTGTATTAAAATAAATACTGACACCAAAAAAGGTTTGGCTTACAGTACTCCCCCGGTGGATTCCGGAACGGCGTAACAGACAACGCCATTGTTTACCATTTTTTAAACTGCTATACCGTTTCGGAATAATAACCGACGCTATGGTGGGAATTACCAATACCGTCAACTTATGTAGCCTTTATAAGGCTGACTTATGTAGCCTTTATAAGGCTGACTTATGTAGCCACTGTAAGGCTGACTTATGTAGCCTTTATAAGGCTGACTTATGTAGCCACTATAAGGCTGACTTATGTAGCCACTGTAACGATGAATTATGTAGCCACTGTAAGGCTGACTTATGTAGCCACTGTAAGGCTGACTTATGTAGCCACTATTAGGCTGACTTATGTAGCCACTGTAACGATGAATTATGTAGCCACTGTAAGGCTGACTTATGTAGCCACTGTAAGGCTGACTTATGTAGCCACTATTAGGCTGACTTATGTAGCCACTATAAGGCTAACTCATGTAGCCACTATAAGGCTGACTTATGTAGCAACTGTAAGGCTGACTTATGTAGCCACTATTAGGCTGACTTATGTAGCCACTATAAGGCTAACTCATGTAGCCACTATAAGGCTGACTTATGTAGCCACTGTAAGGCTGACTTATGTAGCCACTGTAAGGCTGACTTATGTAGCCACTGTAACGATGAATTATGTAGCCACTGTAAGGCTGACTTATGTAGCCACTGTAAGGCTGACTTATGTAGCCACTGTAAGGCTGACTTATGTAGCCACTGTAACGATGAATTATGTAGCCACTATAAGGCTGACTTATGTAGCCACTGTAAGGCTGACTTATGTAGCCACTGTAACGATGAATTATGTAGCCACTGTAAGGCTGACTTATGTAGCCACTATTAGGCTGACTTATGTAGCCACTGTAACGATGAATTATGTAGCCACTGTAAGGCTGACTTATGTAGCCACTGTAAGGCTGACTTATGTAGCCACTATTAGGCTGACTTATGTAGCCACTGTAAGGCTGACTTATGTAGCCACTATTAGGCTGACTTATGTAGCAACTGTAAGGCTGACTTATGTAGCCACTATAAGGCTGACTTATGTAGCCACTGCAACGATGACTTATGTAGCCACTATAAGGCTGACTTATGTAGCCACTATAAGGCTGACTTATGTAGCAACTGTAAGGCTGACTTATGTAGCCACTATAAGGCTGACTTATGTAGCCACTATAAGGCTGACTTATGTAGCAACTGTAAGGCTGACTTATGTAGCCTTTATAAGGCTGACTTATGTGGCCAATGTTAGGCTTATTTATGTAGCCACTGTAACGCTAGCTTATGTAGATCTAGCCATTGTAACGCTGACTTAATTTGTTAAAAATGCGACTTATGTAATGACTTTAAAAATTGATCTATGTAACGCTGTCAAACTGGCCTATGTTCTGACTTATCTACCTAACACTGTCAAACTGGCCTATGTTCTGACTTATCTACTTAACACTGTCAAACTGGCCTATGTTCTGACTTATCTACTTAACACTGTCAAACTGGCCTATGTTCTGACTTATCTACTTAACACTGTTAAACTGGCTTAGTATCTGACTTATCTACCTAACACTGTCAAACTGGCCTATGTTCTGACTTATCTATTTAACACTGTCAAACTGGCCTATGTTCTGACTTATCTACCTAACACTGTCAAACTGGCCTATGTTCTGACTTATCTATTTAACACTGTCAAACTGGCCTATGTTCTGACTTATCTATTTAACACTGTCAAACTGGCCTATGTTCTGACTTATCTACCTAACTCAAAGAAAATGCTCCCCTTGGAGCGGTACTTTATTTTCCAGTTCTTCCATAACAATGCCGAGAACTGCTGTAGAGATCTTTGGTTGGGCATAATGGCTGGACGCCACCAACGGCCTGTTTAACGATTCACTTGCTAGAAACTTCTTCGTAATCCTCCTTCTTTAAAAATATGAAAGTAGGAGGTGTAAATCAAAATATCTGTATTGATTATTTTACCGGCGTTCTTTTATGCAACACGTCACATCCGCTAATTTCTCGCGGTGCAGACACCATAGGGAAACTCCGATAATTGTTTGTTAACACAGTGCTGTAAAGTGAGGTGTGTTTTATGTAACACAGTGCTATAAGTGAGGTGTGTTTTATGTAACACAGTGCTATAAGTGAGATGTGTTATATGTAACACGGTGCTATAAGTGAGATGTGTTATATGTAACACGGTGCTATAAAGTGGGATGTGTTTTATGTAACACAGTGCTATAAAGTGCGGGGACCACCTAGACTTGAAATGTGTCCAGTACTATTACTGTGACTCTATCCTGTGTATTCACGTTGGATGTTTGATTACTGAATGAAGCATATTTTTAATGGATCTTATTATTGTAAATACCGTTGTAAAATGAAACAACATTGTCTATCTTTGAAGAAAGAAGAACTCACAACAACATCTAGTATGATCTAGTGCTTGCGACCCCAACATAGAGTGTTACAGTAGGGAAAAGGGAAATCTAGTTGACTAGCCATCGGTACCCGTTACACGTGAATTATAAGCCTATATATGTTTAATGTTATACATATTTGGAAAACAAAGAAATAACTAAATAGCTAAAAATCCGGCACATTTAAATAAACAAAGGCTACCAGTATCCTAATATTTTATAAAATAGTTATTGGTCAAAACGCAATGTGTTTTACTACACGTTGAACAATATTAGTGGTCATGCAGAGATATAACTAAATAGCTAAAAATCCGACACATTTAAAATTATCATAGGCTACCAATACGTATTCGAAAAATTAAAACCCAATTATATACATTATTATTCAACATATCACCATATTAAATGCATACACTGATTAAAAGACTTAAATGATTCCGTTAAAAACCTGGCTATTTAATGGTCATTATGTTATTTGTTTGACCGATAAAATTGTATGTATTTCATAGCGTATGTCTTGATAAGAAGATCTATATATTTAGATCTAAATCAAATTTGAATAAAATAGTTCATTTCTTTATATTCTAAAATCGGAAGATTCACATATAAAACACAGATTGAAAAACAAGGTAATTAAAAAGTCTAGTGACAATTTTAGCGCAATTTCCTTATGTTATCTAAAAATAGCTCTGTCGTAGCGTAAATCAAGAGCAGGGTTAGTAAAACCATTGGTTAGTTATTAAAACGTTTTTTATTAATTTTTTTCAGTATTTTACATGTTTTATTTACAATAGAGTTACATGACTAAAAACCATTGCGCACCTACTGAACGTGATGGCGCAGCCATGGAACGCGATGGCGCAGCTATTGAACGTGATGACGCGTGTGGTGTGGTTGGAAAAAATGCCTACTAATTCGGTCCAAATTTAATTAATTCAAAATTTTTTTGTGACCGAACGAAAGGATATTTTTGAAAACTTTCTTCGGTAATATTGTTTTAAATTATGGCAGGAATCGATTGGTACATGTTTCAAGTCGCTAAGTGGTCTGGTTGCCGAGATATGGGCCAAAACTGCATTTTTTCGAGGTTTTTTGGCTTTTCCGGGAAATACATGAAAGAAACCCGGAATTTTTATGGCCTATGCTCATTCTCGTAACTTGCTTAACATAATTGCTTTTGGAACTAGTCATCGATATTGCTTCGTTGAGGAGGAGATACGACTTAAAGCCCGGACACACATTCATACATCCATACATTCATTCATCCATACATTCATCCATCCATTCCCAGAAATGACGAGTTAATAAACGCAATTCTCCAGAATGGAAATTGCGCTAAAAACCTGAGTTATTGTGTCTCAACCCGTATCACCCACATGGTTTCTAGTACACTATCATTGCAGCTATTTAGGCACGTTGTAATGAACGAAGAATAAAAGGTGTAATAAATAAACTTAACTTACGCGAATAGGCCTATTCTTTCAAAATTTTTAGCCCAAATTAGTCAATTCTATAGCTAAGCAAACAAATATCTCTATAAATTAATTAAGGCCTGAATTGTTTAATATACAAATTTATTATTGGAATAGATTCTAAAGTAGATAGTCTAAATCTAGATCTATAATCTAGATCTAGCGTCTGCGTCTAGTTTTTGCGTAAATCTAGATCTAGAATCTAGAATCTCTAGATCTAGATCTAGGTCTAGAATCCAAATAGATAAAGTTAAAACAAAAAGTTAGAACAAACACATATACAGCTGTTTTTGTCAGTTTAATTTATAACATGTTTCAAGCGTTAAACATACAAACACACCAACCCACACATATTTTAACACACACACGCACGTAAACTAAGGGCTCCACGCTATAAAACACACACACATACACATCCACAAACACGACACACAAACAGCAAGTGAATTATTCCTTCATGAACTTTAAGAAGACTTGCTCCAGGGACGTCTGTTGCACCGTGAAGTGACTTAAGTCACAGGATGACTTGACTTCCACCAACACTTGGAACAGCTCTGACAGCCGGGTGGACTCTGGCACCAGGAGATGGCAGTAGTAGGCCTGCTTGTCAAACACCTGCGGGTAGGGGGTGGGGGTAGGCCTGCTTGTCAAATACCTGCGGGTAGGGGGGGTGGGGGTAGGCCTGCTTGTCAAACACCTGCGAGTAGGGGGTGGGGGTGGGGGTAGGCCTGCTTGTCAAACACCTGCGGGTAGGGGGGGGTGGGGGTAGGCCTGCTTGTCAAACACCTGCGGGTAGGGGGGTGGGGGTAGGCCTGCTTGTCAAACACCTGCGGGTAGGGGGGGTGGGGGTAGGCCTGCTTGTCAAACACCTGCGGGTAGGGGGGGTGGGGGTAGGCCTGCTTGTCAAACACCTGCGGGTAGGGGGGTGGGGGTAGGCCTGCTTGTCAAACACCTGCGGGTAGGGGGGGGTGGGGGTAGGCCTGCTTGTCAAACACCTGCGGGTAGGGGGTGGGGGTGGGGGTAGGCCTGCTTGTCAAACACCTGCGGGTAGGGGGGGTGGGGGTAGGCCTGCTTGTCAAACACCTGCGGGTAGGGGGGGTGGGGGTAGGCCTGCTTGTCAAACACCTGCGGGTAGGGGGGTGGGGGTAGGCCTGCTTGTCAAACACCTGCGGGTAGGGGGGGGGTGGGGGTAGGCCTGCTTGTCAAACACCTGCGGGTAGGGGGGGTGGGGGTAGGCCTGCTTGTCAAACACCTGCGGGTAGGGGGGGGGTGGGGGTAGGGGGTGGGGGTAGGCCTGCTTGTCAAACACCTGCGGGTAGGGGGGTGGGGGTAGGCCTGCTTGTCAAACACCTGCGGGTAGGGGGGGTGGGGGTTGGGGGTAGGCCTGCTTGTCAAACACCTGCGAATAGGGGGTGGGGGGGTGGGGGTAGGCCTGCTTGTCAAACACCTGCGGGTAGGGGGGGTGGGGGTAGGCCTGCTTGTCAAACACCTGCGGGTAGGGGGTGGGGGTAGTCCTGCTTGTCAAACACCTGCGGGTAGGGGGGTGGGGTGGGGGTTGGGGGTAGGCCTGCTTGTCAAACATCTGCGAGTAGGGGGTGGGGGTTGAACAGGGTACGGTCACTGGTCATATGGACAAATGTCAGGTGACAGAAAACATAGGTGATATGGACAAAGATAAGGTTTGGGTCACAATGTCACTCTTGACTTTCCATTCTACGGAGCACTGGAAGTGGTATTATAATTTTGGAATAATCGAAATCGAGAAACTCACAAATCTCGACATTTTATACAGAGATCTAAGTTGGTGAACACCAACATTATCTGTGATATGTGTGTCTGAGTGTCTGTGTGTCTATATGTGTTAATGAACACATCATCTGTGGTGTGTGTCTGTGTATGTGAGTAGACCCAGTAATTTGAGTACTATTTTACTAAAACAAAATCACATATATTTCATCCCATTTCTTTCAGTTTTTGCTCGATTTCCTGTGCCGGAAATGGTACATTATTCCAGTCAAAAACCGTGAGAACTTTATACTTGTATACCATATTTTCATAAAGCAGATTGTGTGTTGTTTCCAAAACTGACACGGTTTTCTACCAGACAATCACGTAAATATTTAGATTTTCATCACCAATCCCCGTATACCTTGATGTTTTCAACACCAATCCCCGTATACCTTGATCAACCCCAACCCCCGTATACCTTGATCAACCCCAACCCCCGTATACCTTGATGTTTGCGAAATGTTGGTCGAGAGATGTGATAGCAGTTTCCAGGTCTGTAGGTTTTCCGTCAACCCCTGTGGACGCGTGAAGGATGACGGAGTAGCCTTGGTCGTATTTGTTCTTCAGATACTGCTGGCTTCCCAGACACAGTAGCCGCCCCTGCTTGATGATGGCTATCTTTGTACACAGAGCTTCGCACTCCTCCATGCTGAGAGAGACATAACAGATGGGGGGGGGGGAGGGGGAGGGGTGTGCCATGTATAATGTCACGATGGTCGTTCGTTAATCTAGCTATTAGCCTAGTCGCTTTATGCTTACAATTTTAAAAATATATAATATATCACAACTTATATATTCTTGAAATCGATATATATATATATATATATATATATATATATATATATATATATATATATATATATATATATATATATATATATATACGTTATTTATAAGGTAAGTATTTAACACAAGTGGATATAACCTAATGAATTGTGTCCATAGAACAATAACTACTATGTACCATTGAGTCCCTACAACTCATCACATATTCCGTAACATAACAATTGTAAGGCCAATCATACACCATCGTATATATGTAGCATGACCTCCCTCACTAGACATAGTGGTAATGACCGGGCACACCCTGGGAAGGGAGGGGGTCAACTTAGTGGGCCAACAAGAGCAATCCCGGAGAAGGTAAGTGGAAAAAGAAGCAAGGGCTGCTGTGCTTAAGTGGGCTCAACTGTAGACGGGTGTTCAGAGGTGAGGTGTGGTTGTAGCCCTTTGCTCCCCAGGTGAGGTGTGGTTGTAGCCCTTTGCTCCCCAGGTGAGGTGTGGTTGTAGCCCTTTGCTCCCCAGGTGGGGTGTGGTTGTAGCCCTTTGCTCCCCAGGTGAGGTGTGGTTGTAGCCCTTTGCTCCCCAGGTGGGGTGTGGTTGTAGCCCTTTGCTCCCCAGGTGAGGTGTGGTTGTAGCCCTTTGCTCCCCAGGTGAGGTCTGGTTGTAGCCCTTTGCTCCCCAGGTGAGGTGTGGTTGTAGCCCTTTGCTCCCCAGGTGGGGTGTGGTTGTAGCCCTTTGCTCCCCATGTGCTTCACGTGAATACGTCACACCATACAACACATTATGGCTCAATACTACAACTGTCGACCCATTCCTACATTACATTCAGGATTCCTTTGTATACGACAACAACAGCGATCTCCCCCCCCCCTACCCCAGACCTAATCAGGTACCTACCTGTGTGACGACAGCACCAACGTTCTCCCCCCCCCCACCTACACCCCAGACCTAATCAGGTGCCTACCTGTGTGACGACAGCACCAACGTTCTCCCCATGGATCTAACCATATGCAGACACCGCCAGAGACTTCTCCTGGACACCGGATCCAGACCAGCTGTCGGCTCGTCCAACATGATGAAGTGGGGGTTGCCGATGATTGCTATACCAACAGACAGCTTCCTCTTGTTGCCGCCACTGTCAGATATGTTCAGCTTGCAGGCATCCATTTTTTTTAAACTTGTAAACAAAGGTTAGAAATATGAATGTCTCACTGTTTGAATACCTGTATGTCCGTGTGTAGTTGTCTTCGTGTGGATGTAGCGTGATGAAGTCGATGATCATGTTCGTCACCTCACGCAGGCTGCCCTCCTGCACCCCCCTCAACCTGCCGTACAGGTACAGGGTCTCTCGTCCTGTCAACACGTCATGGAGGGCGTCAAACTGGGGGCAGTAGCTCATCATAGACTGGACCTGTAACATTAAGGGCATTAACTTATCATAGACTGGAGCTGAAACATTAAGGGCAGTAACTCGTCATAGACTGGACCTGTAACATTAAGGGCAGTAACTCATCATAGACTGGACCTGTAACATTAAGGGCAGTAAATCATCATAGACTGGACCTGAAACATTAAGGGCAGTAACTCATCATAGACTGGACCTGTATCATTAAGGGCAGTAACTCGTCATAGACTGGACCTGTAACATTAAGGGCATTAACTTATCATAGACTGGAGCTGAAACATTAAGGGCAGTAACTCATCATAGACTGGACCTGTAACATTAAGGGCATTAACTTATCATAGACTGGAGCTGAAACATTAAGGGCAGTAACTCGTCATAGACTGGACCTGAAACATTAAGGGCAGTAACTCATCATAGACTGGAACTGTAACATTGAGGGCAGTAACTCATTATAGAATGCATCGGAAACATTACGAGCATTATATTTTGACATAATGTACAGGAAATAATATAAGCAGTTACACATAATTTCCTGCATCTAATAGATACAAAAAGTTATTAAATGTAATAATTAATTTATAACATTTACCTAATTAAAAAAATTAAAAAATTAGATGGGAATTTAAATGTTGAAGCATAACACAAATAAAATTACGGCTTTACACTCTGAGCCAACAATACAACACATTTTGCTAGTGGTCTTAACTGTTTTCAGCTTGGTTTTGATGCTGTCTCCCTTAAAGTAAGCGTCTCCATAGGACAGCGCGATGTCCCCAGTCAACATTTTGAACATGGTTGTCTTTCCTGCTCCGTTCTGCCCCAGTAAACCCAGGCATTCCTTCTCCTGCACGCCAAGGTTGGTCGAGTACACGGCCACAGTTTTGCTGCTGCAGTATCTCTTGCTCACACCCACCATCACCATCGCATCTGATGAGGACATCAGGAAGATGCTATTTAATCATTCAACCGTCAAGATCATCAGACGTGTCCGTATATACCATCTAATCATCAATCCAATTTTCTATCAAAGTAGACCTACATATCCGTCTAGAGGTCCATCCATCCGTCAAACGATCAACCCATCCAACTAACGATCCATCCATCCATCTAACGATCCATCCATCTATCTAACGATCCACCCACCCATCTAACGAGCCACCCACCCAACTAACGATCCACCTATCCGTCTCTCCGTTCGATCGACAATCAAATCAACCAACCATCAGTTTTGTCTGTCCATTTTTACGATCAGACTATTCATACCATCCTCCATCCTCTCATTAGCTCCCTCGACTTATCCTGGCAATTAGACATCAGTCTATCTATCTACCCTCCTCTATGTCCATCTACTCTACAACACCTGTTTTAAACAGCTTGTGCTCATTAGTTTCTGTAATACGCTTCCTTTCCTTAGCCACGTCTTCATCCTCCTTATATCTGTAGCTATCCGATTCTACCTTGACATTCAGGCACTCTAACTTGTACCTGTGTAATGATGCAACGACATTTGCTTGTTTTCGGCTCAAGTTCAGCTTCCGCCCCCCAAAAAATAAAACGTTCTGCGTATGCACAGATCGATACAACTTTACCAAAACTGTTTGAATTACTTTGAATGACCCTCTCACTGTCCCCCTGTCTTCCCCTCCAAACAACCATGTTTCACCCTCCCAACCTTGTCTTGTCCCTCCTCCTTCGATAACCAAAGATTTCATTTCGCCAACAACCCACCTCTGCAACGCCGACTATCCCCCTTACATACAGTTAGAATATTTGTATGGCTCTACAACATAGGCTACATAGAGACTGATATTTGTATGGCCCTCCAAGATATATATATATATATATATATATATATATATATATATATATATATATATATATATATATATATATATATATATATATATATATATATATATATATATATATATATGTATAAATATATATATATATATATATGTATAAATATATATATATATATATATATATATATATATATATATATATATACTGATAAAGGTGTACAATGTATCAAGAGGAAACATGTACAGAATCAATCGGTAGAGCTTGTAGTCTATGAAAGCCACGACGAGCCAGGAGATTGCTGTGAGAATCAGGAGTTGCTGCATGCCGTCCCGCAGATAATCATCATCACGATGAAATAAGTAGTCGAATTGGTTGTGTTTGGCCAATTCAGCTGTCGGGAGTCAGATTTGTATAAAGTCAGTGCACGGATACAGTCGAATAGAAACATAACAAACATCATGGGAAATAAATATACATCGTAATTATAAACATCAAAATTTACTAGCTTTTAATTATACTAAAGTTACAAACGTTTACTTGTTATATATTTATTATGTACGAGCCTACCCGCGGCGTAGCATCGCCGCCGTTTAGTGAAGGACGACTATCCTATTCCTCCCTTACCTCCCCCCCCCCCCCACCCGCCACCATGAAAACACCCGTCCGTGACGACAGTTTACAGATGAAAATGAAAAAATCAAGCATAACTTGTAACCTCCCCTTAGTTTCAAATCGTTTAAAAACTAAATTATCTGCCCGTAATAACCGTCACTAATTTGACCCGGCTCTATGATTGTAAACACTTGGCGCGAACCATAGCTCACCAGACTAGTGCGAATTGGGGGTGATAGTGATATGGTCGGCTTGCGACGTGGTGGTGTCCACATAAATTATAAATAAATAAATAAATATTATATATATATATATATATATATATATATATATATATATATATATATATATATACAACCTGAACTTTGAACTTAACTCGACTGAGCCAAGCCCGCCAACACACTTGAGACCAACCTCTTGTCTGAAAATTTATCCTTATATTTTGATCCCCCTTGATCATGCTAATGAGAGCCCCGGACAAAATGTAGTTGGGCGAGATGACGACACCCACGTCGTCCACCATTTGCCACAGGGCCGTCAAGTTTTGATTACTCAGCTTAGTGGCGCCGTTCACAGAGCCCAGGATCATTCCTTCAGGTACACAAGCAATATCGGTGGAAGGATGACATTGGTGGGAGATGAATTGATGAGTTTAGATTTTTAGATGTTTGGGGACGAATGGATAAGTTTAAAATTTTAAATGTTTTGGGACGAATGGAAAAGTTTAGATTTAAAAAAAACAACAACATTATAAAAAATTTAATATTAAGCAGTCTTAGCTGAAGGCACTTATAGTTCAAAATCACAACTGATTCATCAATTTTAGTTGTTATTTGCTACACTGATACATGTATAGTGAATTAATAAATAATTTTATAAAGAGAGAGAGAGAGAGAGAGAGAGAGAGAGAGAGAGAGAGAGATGTACCAATCGTTAAGATGAGAAGATTAATTGAATGTACCGATGATTATATTCATGATGAGAAGGACGGTGATCCCATAGGCCGGGTTTTGGAAGAAATTCTGTAGAGCGTACAGATACGGGAAGATGGCCAGTCCAAAGACAGCAAACATCATCAGCGTGAGCCGCCAGCGGTCTCCCTTGATGAAGTCTTCTGACTTGTAGCTGAGTACTCCCAGCATGGCACCGCTCACAAGCAGGTAGAAGATGTAGTCGAAGGCGAAGGTCGCGAACCAGTAGGCGAACGGGTGGACGCCGCTCAGGGCTTGGAGGTGTTTAGCGCCGCACTGGAATGATACAAACATCAGAACACTGGAATGATACAACCATCAGAACACTGGAATGATACAAACATCAGAACACTGGAATGATACAAGCATCAGAACACTGGAATGATACAAGCATCAGAACACTGGAATGATACAAGCATCAGAACACTGGAATGATACAACCATCAGAACACTGGAATGATACAACCATCAGAACACTGGAATGATACAACCATCAGAACACTGGAATGATACAACCATCAGAACACTGGAATGATACAAGCATCAGAACACTGGAATGATACAAGCATCAGAACACTGGAATGATGCAACCATCAGAACACTGGAATGATACAACCATCAGAACACTGGAATGATACAACCATCAGAACACTGGAATGATACAAGCATCAGAACACTGGAATGATACAAGCATCAGAACACTGGAATGATACAACCATCAGAACACTGGAATGATACAACCATCACAAAACTGGAATGATACAAACATCAGAACACTGGAATGATACAAGCATCAGAACACTGGAATGATACAAGCATCAGAACACTGGAATGATACAAGCATCAGAACACTGGAATGATACAACCATCAGAACACTGGAATGATACAAGCATCAGAACACTGGAATGATACAACCATCAGAACACTGGAATGATACAACCATCAGAACACTGGAATGATACAATCATCAGAACACTGGAATGATACAACCATCAGAACACTGGAATGATACAACCATCAGAACACTGGAATGATACAACCATCAGAACACTGGAATGATACAGCCATCAGAACACTGGAATGATACAATCATCAGAACACTGGAATGATACAAGCATTAGAACACTGCAAAGATACAACCATCAGAACACTGGAATGATACAACCATCAGAACACTGGAATGATACAAGCATCAGAACACTGGAATGTTACAACCATCAGAACACTGGAATGATACAACCATCAGAACACTGGAATGATACAAGCATCAGAACACTGGAATGATACAACCATCAGAACACTGGAATGATACAGCCATCAGAACACTGGAATGATACAATCATCAGAACACTGGAATGATACAAGCATCAGAACACTGCAAAGATACAACCATCAGAACACTGGAATGATACAACCATCAGAACACTGGAATGATACAAGCATCAGAACACTGGAATGTTACAACCATCAGAACACTGGAATGATACAACCATCAGAACACTGGAATGATACAAGCATCAGAACACTGGAATGATACAACCATCAGAACACTGGAATGATACAACCATCAGAACACTGGAATGATACAAGCATCAGAACACTGGAATGATACAACCATTAGAACACTGGAATGATACACACATATATATATGTATATATATATATATATATATATATATATATATATATATATATATATATATATATATATATATATATATATATATATATGCACACTGCAGAGGACGAGAGTGATGAGTGCTAGCACGACCTACCGCCCTCTCAGACAGCAGCACGTAGATAAAGCCCACTGGAATCAGCGCCATGGCTAGACTGATGCACATCAATGTGAGAAACTCGTGGACTTTTCCCCTCATGACGTCATTAGTGTTCTCGTCGTACTCCAGTCCAGCCTCCACCGAGAAGTCGGGGCCGAGGGCTGTCTTGACATGGGCGTTCATCAACATCTGGATCTGTACAGGTGAATCAACATCTGGATCTAATAACATGAATCAACATCTGCATCTAAACACATGAATCAACAAATACAAATGCTGCAGTCAGTCTAGCACCACCTGACAAACACAACCTCTCATGTTGCAGTCAGTCTAGCACCACCTGATAAACACAAGCTGCAGTCAGTCTAGCACCACCTGATAAACACAACATCTCATGTTGCAGTCAGTCTAGCACCACCTGACAAACACAAGCTGCAGTCAGTCTAGCACCACCTGACAAACACAAGCTGCAGTCAGTCTAGCACCACCTGACAAACACAACCTCTCATGTAGCAGTCAGTCTAGCACCACCTGACAAACACAAGCTGCAGTCAGTCTAGCACCACCTGACAAACACAAGCTGCAGTCAGTCTAGCACCACCTGACAAACACAAGCTGCAGTCAGTCTAGCACCACCTGACAAACACAACCTCTCATGTTGCAGTCAGTCTAGCACCACCTGATAAACACAAACCCCCATGAACTGAGCGTAAAGCAATTCCTGATAGAACAATGTGGGCTCCTTCCTCGTGAAGTCCAGTCCCAGCAACATTCTGTTATCGTACTCCTCCGCCGTGTGCGCTCTATACCATGCCAAGCAGAACTCACTCAAATTACCCTAAAAGTTAAAGCGATAATACAACAGAGATTAAACAATTGGTAACTTATGTATACACCTTTGTGTTTTAACAACAATTGAAGGGTAAAAATGTATAACCAGACTAGCAAGAATTGTGGTCCTGTAGCACCAGACTAGCAAGAATTGTGGTCCTGTAGCACCAGAGTAGCAAGAATTGTGGTCCTGTAGCACCAGACTAGCAAGAATTGTGGTCCTGTAGCACCAGACTAGCAAGAATTGTGGTCCTGTAGCACCAGACTAGCATGAATTGTGGTCCTGTAGCACCAGACTAGCAAGAATTGTGGTCCTGTAGCACCAGACTAGCAAGAATTGTGGTCCTGTAGCACCAGACTAGCTAGAATTGTGGTCATGTAGCACCAGACTAGCAAGAATTGTGGTCCTGTAGCACCAGACTAGCAAGAATTGTGGTCCTGTAGCACCAGACTAGCAAGAATTGTGGTCCTGTAGCACCAGACTAGCAAGAATTGTGGTCCTGTAGCACCAGACTAGCAAGAATTGTGGTCCTGTAGCACCAGACTAGCAAGAATTGTGGTCCTGTAGCACCAGACTTGCAAGATTTGTGGTCCTGTAGCACCAGACTAGCAAGAATCGTGGTCCTGTAGCACTGTAGCATCACGTCTCAAGGAAAATACATGCCGATAAAATAGTACAACTGTACATTGTATACCGTTTCAGATAGGTGAACGAAACTTCGTACATAGGATCTTATTCAGTTAACCCCTTAGATTTTGAATGACTGTCGGTTTACTGAAAGTAGCTCTTTGCTCTATTTCTGATTTCTCGAAAACCATAAAAATATGATGATTTTTTATATCATTTTGGTGAGCAATTATTTTTCTAAGCGACTTTAAATAAAATATGTATAAAAGAGCGGAAAATGCTTACTTTATAAAGTAGTATTTCGATTTAATTCTGATTCCTAAAAACCATTTAGTATTTGTATATTATATTTCATATTCTAATTATGCATTGAGCATTTTCTATGAAATTTTTCATGTCTATGTTTCTTCTAAATAACAATGTTTTTTTTTAATTAGCAGCTTTGTCACCAACTTCTACATTACGATAACATACTATGAAGTGCCATCTTAACCCTTTCTGTTATATAAGAATATACAAACACGATTAAAGTAAATTCTATCTTCTTCTTCTTCGTTCTT